CTCAGTCTGGCTTATCTCGCTTAGCATAATAGAATTGATATAATTTATTTTTTACATGATTAGTGTAAGAATTCACCAGTGAAGGCATCTCGGCCTGAAGTGTTTGGTTTTGTTTGTTGATGGGAAGATTTTTTTAACGAGGAATTCAGTTTCTTTAATGGTTTTATAGCTTAGATTGTTTTTTTTAGTAATCTTTGATAACGTGTATCTTTCAAGGAATTTGAATGTTTAATCTGAATTGTCCAATTCTTTGGCATAAAGTTGTTCACATTATTTCTTTTTATCTGTTATCTGTAGACTTTATAGTGATGCCATGCTGCTCATTCCTAATATTGGTAAATAATATCTTCACTCTTTTTTTCCTACTCAGTCTAGCTAGATCTTTATCAATTTTAACAACCTTCCTAAAGAAACAGCTTTTGATTTCATTGATTGTTATATATATTTTTGGTTTCTATTTTATTGATTTCCACTCTGTATTATTTCTGTTTACTTTGGGTTTAGTCTGCTCTTCATTTTTAAGTTTCTTATGATGGAGACTGAGGTCAGCGATTGGAATCTTTCTTCTTTCCTAATGTAGGTGTATAGTGATATCCATTTTCTTCTAAGTACTAGTTTAGCTGCATCTCACAAATTTTGATATGCTGAGTTTTCATTTTCATTCAGTTCAAAATAGTTCTTTTGTTTTATTCTTTGACCCATGGATTATTTAGAAGTAAGTTATTTTGTTTGCAAATATTTGAGGATTTTCCAAGTGTCTCTTTGTTGTTGATTTCTATTTTAATTCCACTGTTATGAACATATTTTGTATGATTTGAATACTTTTAAATTTACCAAGACTTGTTTTTCAGCCCCAAAGTTTGGGGCCATCTTCTACGTGCATTTGAAAACAATGTATTTCTGCTTTTGGTGAGTGGATTGTTTCTTATAAATGTTAATTATGTCAGATTGGGTGACACTGTCTAAAATTTTTTTGTCAACTTGTTTTATCAGTTATTGAGAGATGGGTGTTGAAATTTCCAACTATTTGTGGATCTGTCTGTTTTTCCCTGCGTTTCTATTAGTTTTCGCTTCCCTTTGTTTTGAAGCTCTCATGTTAGGCACTTAACATTTAGGATTGTTATGTCCTCTTGATAAGTTGAACTCTTCACTATTATAAAATGACCCTCTTTGTCCCTATAATGTTCTTTGTTGTGAAGTCTACTTTGTCTGATATTATTATAGCCACTCTGGCTGGCTGGCTGGCTTTGTTTTTCTTATGTTTCTAATTTAAAGTTAGTATTTTAAGATTTTTAATCTAACTTTGATTTTAGACTTGTATCTTTTCCCCCTTACCTTGAAAATCTTAATCCCTAACAACATTAGCTTTTTTATTTACATTATCTTATAAGGTATGGAAAACAGATTCAAAATAATACCAATGTTACCACTGACAATTAGATTATTGAATGAAGTTTAAGAGGTCTTACTGCTCTACTTGTTCTAAGAAATATATCACTAGCAATATAGAGCCAAAATACTGTGTTCTAGTCCCTTGAGATAATTCTCTCTTTTTTAGTGCTTTCTCAGGGTTTTCTTATTTTTTTATTTTTTAGGATTGCTTCTTAAATTTAATTTTACTTTTGAAATGTAATAGTTTTCTATGTTTCCAAAGTCAGAACTATATAAGGTATATTTGGAGAAGTATCGCATCCATTTCCAACCCTCTACCCACCTAACTCTTATCTTTAAAAGTTTTGGTCTGTCTTTCCAGTATTTTTTGCAAATATAAACGAATACATATACACACACATATAAATAAAAATAAAAACATATTAATGTTTCTCACCCCATTCTTACACAAAGTGAAATGTTCTCGCTGGCTTTTTTTCACTTAATAATATATCCCAAAGATCACTCCATATCAGAGTAATTAGAGAATACAGAGTTATCTCATTCTTTTTGACAACTATATAGAGATTTACCATAATTTATTCAACCAGACCACAATTGATGAACATTTGGGTTGTTATTACCCATAGAATCATCTTTCTTTTGGTTAGTATTAGCATGGTATATATTTTTCCATTCTTTTACTTTTAACCTAATTTTATCTTTGTATTTCTAGTGAGATTCTTATAGGCAGCATATAGTTAGGTTTTGCTTTTTTGTCCAGTCTAAAAATCTCCACTATTTAATGTATATATGTATTACTCTATCTTCAAGTTTACTAATATTTTCGTCTGCCATATATAGTATCCTGTTAATCCCATTCAGTGTGTTTTTCATGTCAGACCTTGTGTTTTTCATCTCTAGACTTTCAGTTTTTAATGTCTTCTCTGTCTCTATTAAACATATGAGATATGGTTATACTGTTTTTTAATGTCCTTGTCTACGAATTCTATTATCTGTGTCATTTCTGGTTCTGTTACTATTGATTTGTTTTTCTTTTTCATTATGGACTGTATTTTCTTGGTTCTTTGCATCCCTGGTTATTTTCTGTTAGATGCTAGGCATTGTGAAGTTGCTGGATATTTTTGTATGCCTACAAATACACTTGAGGACTTAGTCAAGTTACTTGTTAGCAGTTTGATTTTAAGCTTTCTTAGATGGAACAAGAGTGATCTTTAGTCTAGGGCTTACATTTTTCCACTACTGAGGCAGTGCCCATGAATTGCCAGATTTTCTACTGTGGCCAGTGGGACCTCTTGCTAGCTATTGGGGGTTTCAGGAATTGTTCCCGCTGCTCTCTTCAAGAGGAGTTGCTCTTTTACCTAGCTCAGTTAGATTCCTCATGTGTATGTGCCTATCAGCACTCGGCTGAAGACTCTGGGGGGATTCTTGTAGCTCTCCGGAGGTTTCTTTCTCTCTGTGCAGCTCTCTCCTCTGTTACTCTGCCTGAGAACTCCTGTCTCTGGCTTTCCCCAACTGACAGCTCTCTCTCTTCCTCTCAGGGAGACCATGTAGCAGTAAGCTGAGGCAGTTGGAGGGCTCACCTTGTTTATTCCCCCTTCAGAGAACACTGTTTTGTGCTGCTGATTTTTTCCATTTTTTTTTTTTTTTTTGGTTTCAGATAGGAGGGTAAATCGATTCCCTGTTACTCCATCTTGGCTGGACATTCAAGTTAACATTTGTTTACATCATTTAAAAAAGAAAACTATGGAAAGATTTAGATCATTTTGTATTTTATAAACAAGTTTGGACTAAATTTATTTTCCTTTGTAATTTCTAGACAATGTATTAATATCAAAAGCTTTATATGTCATATGTAAAGAAAAGGTAATTTAGTATACTAAGGTTGTTTTCAACCTTTTTTCTGCTCATTCATGTTTATGATGTGAAATTGCTTGATTTGCCAGTTAGCAGAATGCCTGTATCCTACATACTTAGAAAAATAATATTTCATAATATCTATAGCAAGTAAAATAACCTATATTTAATAATATTACTTGTTTGTTATAAAAAACAAGTTTTCAACTGTCTTACGTTTAAAAATTGAATGCTTCTGATGCCTTTTATAGACTCATATGTTTCGTTCATTGACATCGTTTTGGTTTGTGAGTGTTCTTACAGAAGTCTTTATATACTGAACTGCGTTTTTCTCAGTTTTCTTATACCTCATAAAATTATAGTGGATTTCTATAATTAAGGCTTCTCATAATTAGTATTTACAGGAGATAAATTTCTTATTACAAGGAGAGTAATACAATATATTCAGGCACAGTGCGAATGTAGAAGGATGCTGGGCTTTGAGTTAAGAAAGTAGAAGTTGAGTCTTGGCCTGCTTCTTATGAAGTTATATTACCTCTTTCAGCCTTATTTTGTTACTTTCTCACATAACCTTTTTGAGCCTTACTTTCTTCTTTAAAATGACATGATGATATTCTTCTCAAAGGCACGTGTGAGAATTAGGTGCATTTTGTGAAAATACGTAGTAAACTGCAAATGCTGTTTAAAAGTCAGATATCATTTTGAGGTTTAGCCTGAGAAGTGTAAGTTTCAAAGAGTATGTACAGTGGGAAAATTTGACTGTATCTGAGCCTAACATTGATAACAGGAATTATTATCTTGGCTTGTGCTTTCTTTGGTTAGTTTCAGAAATGTTTTAAATTTGATTTTTGATACCCAGTTTAACAGAAATGAGTCATATTATCATTTCTTTCTTTACTCGGCAGCACACAATTTGCACTTCCCCCACATATGTGATCTGTGGGTTGTGGAGAGAAAAAAGGATGTTGCTCAATATCCCACATCTTTCAACCAAGAGTACTTTTCAGCAACACTCATGAGTTTCTCTTAGGCATTAGGAAATTCAGACCCTTAGATGTTAAACTAAATTTGTGAACTCAGTAATATTTAGTGAGAAAATTTGAGTAGCAAATCCTTGTCAGATTCCATGTTCTCTGTAAATGCCAATGACTATTACCCATGGAGTGGATTGGATGACCTTGGTTTTAATGGTCTAAACATTTTCTACAGAATGATGCAGAAGCTGTTACTGAGAATCAGAACGAAAGGTTACAGAATTTTGTATGAATCAGATTTGAAGTGGAAACCACAGTTGTTTCCTTGTTTCTCATTCATGCTTTAGCAGAGGATATGATGCTATAGATCTGGCTTGGTTGGTAGTTTCTCCTTTAAGGTTCATACTGCTTTCTTTTCCTTTTTAGAAGCCACGGCAGTTTTGATATATTGTCAAACCACAAGATGTACCTTGTTGGATATTTAGTGGGGTGTGTGTGTTAAATATTATTATTTAATAATATTATTTAATATTAATATTATTTAATATTAGTATCAGTACTAATTATGGCATTCCTGTTTAGTCTTATTTTGGAAATATAGCATAGGTAAATAAGTGCATATATATGTATATTCGGGGTAGGTAGTATATAGGCATACAGCTGCAGGCATGTGGAAAACGATTTTAACCTTTGAATATATTAATTTGTATTTAAAGATAATGTTTTATGTTGCTTAACTTGAGTATAATATGTTAATTTTCTTTTATTCTTCCTTAGCATCAAGGCATGCCATGGGTTGCCTCTCATAAATGGACAAAGCTGTGACCCTTATGCAACAGTTTCTCTAGTGGGCCCTTCTAGGTAATGTTTATCGAATTATTGTTAGATTTTTAAGTTTTAAAGTTTGATTTAAGAGTTACAATATTCAGGTTCTAAGAGCAAATACTAAATAGCTATTTATGACACAAAGTAATGAATGCTTTGAAAGAAAATCTGTAGTGAGTTCTGCCATACATTTGTGAACAGCCAAGTCTTATTTTTACGGAAAGAAGCTGGGTGCCATTTCACATCGCCAGACTCTTAGGCTGTGGGGAGCAGCCTCAGTTTTATAGTAGTTAATGTCTACTTCAAAACATCATCTTGTCCTTCATCATTCATCATCAGCCTTCCTGCTTTCAAACGTCTGTTTTAACAAATGCTAGCTCAGAATAACAAGGCAGTTGCCATATTTTTACCTGTAAATTAGCTCAGGACTAAAAACGCCTTTTCTGCTCTTGGGATCTGTGCTCTGCAGAAGAGAATTCCAAGCTATAGGTAAACCGCTGAAGTATCAGAACATGGTGAAGTGCACCATCTCATTGACTTAAACTACTTATGATAATTTATAAAAAAAGTTATAGCACTTTGTAATATTTTATATTTTATAATTTCATTATGGTTTCTTTTGGAGGCTGACTTGTCTGAAATTTGTCTACAAAGGTTTAGAATCAGGAAACAAAGAACACGATGTTCCCTCTACACAAACACATACATCCACACACCAGACACACACCCCTTCTCGCCAACCCCAAGCTCTCTAGGTATTCTTATTTTTTAGAAAATCACCAATAAGTCACTTTGAAAAATGTATTTGTATATGTGTATATAAAGTACTAGCTCTGTGCCCAGTACCGATTGGGTGCTTAGACAATAGTATGCTATTATAATCATAGATGGTTTTAAATTTAAAAGCAGATACTCCATCCTGTAACATTCATATTATCAAAGGGATTTATTTTTGCATGTTAAAAATGTTTAGCCTAGTGGAGCTGTTTTTGTTTCTAATCTGTACCTGACAGGCAAAGTCTTTACTGTAATTGTTTAGTAACATACAGATAGAAACTATTTGGCATAAGAATTTGTGGTTTTGATGTTGTACTATAGTTGTGTAAGATGTTAACATTGGGGGAGGCTGGGGAAAGGCTGCGTGGGACTCTCCTGTACATTTCTTTGCAGCTTTCCCTGAATCTGTAATTATTTCAAAATAAAAAAAGTTTTTTAAGAAGCTACTGTTGTAGCTGAACCCCAAGAAGTAACCTGAGTTAAGAATGCTTTTCATGTTCCTCAGGTACTTTTCAACATAGATAAAGGTACTCTGAATCTCACTTGTCTTCCTTCTGCCATTTATTCTGAGTTGCTTGTGTCATAGAATGTTATTCTATGAAGAAAGCTTGGCAGTCAATCTAATATAACCATGGAGAGAACAGTACAATCTTGGCATGTATAGGATATACAAAACTTGTATTTCTTTGATTGGAGTTTTTAGATACTCAGTTTTTTCCCCAGGTAGTATTTAAAACCACAGTCTTCCCTGAGTCATCTTAACAGTTAAACAGAGGTCAGGCTCCCTGGTTGGAAATAGCATGTTTTATAATTGTGTGCTATTAAGTTCTACAAGGTAAAACTCTACCACATTGGAACAGGAATGACCAAAAGAAGACAAAAGTAAAGAAGAAAACAAGCAATCCGCAGTTTAATGAAATCTTTTATTTTGAGGTAACTTTTTGTTTTATATAAATGTTAACATTGATTATTTAATATTAAATGCTGGTTGACTTCTATTTTCAAACCATGGCCATAGTAATCATTTTATCGACTAACGTAGCTAAGCATTTCTCTCTATGAGAGCTCTCTAACGTAACTAAGCAGTAGCACCGTGGTGTAATGCAGCAGAGGCCCGATATATAAAACAAATAAAGGCAGAACTCTGATTGGTTTGGGGTTGGGGAGGTTTAGGGCCACATCCACTCCCCAGTCATCCTCAGTATCACCCCCTCCTCCATATCCCACTCCTTATCCAAACCCCCACCTCACGCAGAGTGGCCACAGGACTCTTCTGCAGAGTGCTGTTTGAAAACCACTAGTGAAGTAAGTGTGCTGTCCCGTGGTAGATCGAAGTTCTAGTCTCACTTGACTTTGGACAAATCGCTAAATGTGAGACTGAAGTGTCTTATCTTGTGAAAGCATAATTCTGTAAGAGAAAACAGTACCAGCCCTACCTAAGTCATGGAGTTTTTATGAGACCCAAGTGTGAGAATGCTTTGAGACTGTAAAGTACTATATGATTAAGTCCTTGTTAGTAAATTCTTTTTAGCTAATTCACTCCATGGACACGTGCTTATTTTCATAGAGATCTTCAGCTGCCTTGAAGTTGCTGCAATTAGAGTGCCTTGGAGTTCTTTACTGTGGAGCATTTGTTAAATCCTTTTTCATATTATTTGAAAGCTACAGGAAAAAAAGTGAAACTCTATTCTGAAAGATTGTGTTCTAACCATAGAACGTATTGCAATTGAAATTAACATATATAGAAGATTTGGAAAAAAGTTACATTTTGTGTTTTTTCTTCTTTTGTGTTTGAGTTTTTCTTGATATTTCAAAGTGGAGAGCGTAAGGGCACATCTAGCCATGACTGATTACTGTGCTTTAATAAAGGAACACAGGTTGAAGAAAATGCCAAAACTGAAGTAGAAAAAATTGTGGGGGTATGAGGCAAGGGAGAAAGAAAAACAAAAGAAAATGTAGCAGTGTGAGACGTTTCCATTTCCTGGCTAAGGACTTAGTTCAGTTGTCCTACATTGTTAATGTCTATTACGTCTAGTCCGGAGATAACAAAGAAGGGACACCTTGCAGCAAGCAGATGGCCCTTTGAAACTCAAGGCCCAACCTGCTTGCTATATGCAAGCATACCTATTAGGCCGTGAAACATTCAGAAGGCCTTTAATTGAGCTGATTATCAGGATAAGGTTCAAGCTCTGTCCTCTCGCTAGAGCAAGATGCAAAGTGCCCACATGCCCACATACACAGAGCAGTAAAATGCAGCTGGATACCGGGGAGGTCAGATGCGCTCTGCTCCAGCTGAGTTGAGTCAGAGGAAGGAGGGTATTAGAGAGAAGGAGCATCTTGAGCAGAGAGGTAGAGACAGAAAAGCAGAAAGTTATGTCCAAAGAATAGCAAGTAGTGGTTTAACTGAAAGATTGTGTAAGGGAATAATGAGAACTAAGCTTAGAAAGATGAAAGAGGGCAAACTGATGGAAGGCCTTGAATTCCTGGCTGAGGTGCTTAAATATTAGCCATTGAATGTTACTGGGCCTGAAAGTGATGAGAGTCATGATGCAGTTTTTTGGGAAGAATTAACCATGATCTGTGGGGCAGATGGCTAAGAGAGAAAACAGAGATCAAGAGAGACTTTGTAGTTTAGGTGTTAATAAAAAAATGGAGGGATGTTTGATCCAAGAGAGTCATGGAAATAGAGAGGAAGGGCCCCGTGAGAAAGAAAGTGCAAAGGGCAAGATGACGAATTGGTTATTGAAGAAAAGACAAAGAAGGAGTTAAGTGTTGTCCTCATGGTTTTAAATCTGGAAAAATAGAAAAGTTAAGAAGAAGGAAAACTTAAGTGATTCAGTTTGGGGCATAATGAGCTTAAGGTCTGATGTGTAAAATCCTCCAATAGACAGTTCGTTACTGAAACTTAAGATGATGGTGGTTGTAGGTAAAGACTCAAGATCCGCTTACCGAGAGTCAGGAAAGTCCAGGTGTACAATAAGGGAGAAAAATGAAGAAGCTCAGTTCTGCCAGTTACTAGGTATTCAGCTTTGAGATGTCTCTTAATTTCTGTACTTCAGCTTCCTCATTTTCGAAGCGAGGATAATAAATCTAGCCCTGCCTGCTCAGAGCAGCATTCTGATGAACAAAGGAGATAATGGATGTGAAAGCACTTTGTAAACTGTGCAGCACTGTGCAACTCTTAGAGCAAAATAAAAGAGAGCCTTGGAGAAAACCCACATTTTTAGGTTCTGAGGAAGAAGAGGTACCAGAGGAAGAAGCAAAGAGAGCAGAAGGTTGCCAGGATAATGCCTGGGTAAATTCAAAGAAAAGAGGATCTCTGGAAAAGGAGGTATAATTGTATGATAACTCGTTCAGATAGAGGGGTCAAGGAAGGTGAGAACTAAGAATTCATCATCAGACTTGGTGATTAAGAAAGGGGTTTTAGGAGGGTGATCTGTGAGGAAGCCAGATTATAAAGAGTTACTGTAGTGCGTGGGTGGTGAGGAAGTGGAGGCTGTAAGTATGGATTACAGTTTTGAGATATTTGTCTGTGAAAGGAAAGAGATAGGAAGACCATAATTTAAGGGGAGAATTTTTCTTAAACTTGAGTGAGGTGAACAAGCTTGTAAAGAAAGCTGTAATTAAAATAGAGCAAACACTTACTGCATACTTCCTGCGTACTGTGTGTGGGTGGAGTAGTCTTAGAAAAGAGGAGGGTCATCTCATCCTCTTGTTCAGAGGAGGAGGAGAAACTCATCAGGTAGAAGGGCCTTAGTGGGAATGGACACGTTCAGGTTGACGGTAATTGAGGAAGTTCCTGCCAATGGCCTTGATATTTTCAGTAAAAATGTGAGAAGGAAGTGGCAGAGTGTCATTGGTATCTTGAGAAATGTGGGAAAGTCTTCCAACAGTTCTTAGCATGTGCAGCTTCACTGAAATAGAACTCTTTACTCTTTGAGTCACCAACAGATTACATATGAGCCAGAGAAGCTAATGTGGCTATGTACTGAGTTGATAAGGAAGGGCATTTTGATGTTTCTACACCACCTTATTCTTACTTCCATAGCTATTTTTGTATAGCTTTGTGTAAAACATTCCCTAGGCATTTTCCTGTTTATAATAAACACAATTGAACATTTTAGGGATGATAACTTTTTAGGTTCACGTAGGAAAAAGATATTAAAAAAAATTTTTCTTTTACTAATATATTTTGTTTACAGGTAACCAGATCCAGTAGTTACACCAGAAAGTCACAGTTCCAGGTAGAAGAGGAGGACATTGAAAAGCTAGAAATTAGGTACGTGTCTTGGGGTTTTACAGAATTGCTTTTTTCTGTGCCAAAAGAAGTCCTAAATTTAACTGAAAAAAGTGAACCAAGCTTAATAGAATTCTCTTTTGCAAGTTGGTTGATGAAACTTAGAGGAGCATGCATCTAATTTAAATCCAAATTATCTTTTCCCCAAAATCTGATTTCTTTGCAGAAATAGTCAAGTTGTATTTATTTTATAAACAACGATGACCTAATTTTCACCTATTTTATATTTTTAATTTTTCCCAAATTTAATTACTCCTTAAATTTCTGAATCATAATAGATGCAAAGAATATGTAGAGAAATAATTATATATTAGCCAATTTAGAAATAATTTTTTTATTCTTCTTAACATATCTGCTGTCTAACAGAAATTTCAGTGAGGTAAGAAGTCTTGTAAGATAATTCAACAGGTGCGTGTGTTTGAAGTTTGCTGTTTCCTAGGTCATAAATATCTATGCTGTTTGGGAGGGGAAAGTTTTATAAATGCATGAATAGGTGTGGTGTTAACAGTGTGTTCATCTAAAGGGTGTATTAATCACATGTTTGGAATGATCAGGTAATATATTTTTTCCAAATCACCTATCTTACTTAACTGGTTCTAATTGAGAAAGAAACGGTAGTCTTGTGTTGGTTTCTTTTCTCAAATTCAACAAAGTAACTTCTGTAGTCCTTATTGCTACAGTTATAAAGCTTACATTTTGAAACTAAGAAACTTAAGTACTTTCTTTTAGATATTTAAAATAGTTACTTTCTATGCTTATAGATAAAAGCTACTGCAGTATTTTGCTTTCTTTGTTTAGATAGTGAGGTATATACAATGCTAACATCTCACTTTTAAGCATGTAAAATTAATGCTATAATATAAATCAAAGTAATTTGAAGCTGTTTGGTGACGTGCGTTCTCTTAAACATAGTTTGCAAAAAATAAAACCAGTTTAAAATTTTCAGGATCGACTTGTGGAACAATGGAAACCTGGTCCAAGATGTTTTCTTAGGTGAGATTAAGGTTCCTGTGAATGTGTTAAGAAATGATTCTTCTCATCAAGCCTGGTAAGAAGACAAAAATTCTAGTGAACTCTATAGTAGGTCATCCCCTTTGATAGACTGTATATGCAGATAAATATGCACATTTGTATATATAAAAGTATGCTTACTATAAGCATATTTTAAATTTGTAATGGAATAAGCCAAAAGTCATGAACATTAATTGATTTGGTCATTAATTTATTGTTGCAGAAATATAAGTACATTGATAGTTTTATGACTTGACCTCTGGTACTGAGATGAAGGAACTGAATTGTCTAGGAAATTATTCTGTTCAAAAACTAAATCATAATTCTAAGGACAAAATGAAAAACATAAAACATTGCATAAGAGTTACCCATGTGAAAGATGCTTGGTCGCAAATCAATGTCTGCAGTTCAGAAGCTTTATTAATGGTCATGGGAACCTTGAATGTTTGAAAGCAAAGGGTTTATTGGAGGGAATCACCTGTTTATGGGATCTAACCAGTGATTTTCTTTCACCATGCCCCATTGAAATGTTCTGTGGAAGGATGGCCCTGATGTTATTTTCTAAATGTCTAGGGTCTAGATGTTTTTGAGCTGATTCAGTTAATACACTTTTCAGGAACTTTTGGTGGCTCAATAATGGTTACAGTATTATTTTACCTTTTCATGACTCTAATAGTGACATTAAACTGGAGTTGTATTAAATTTAATGTTCAGACGTTAAATTGATGTTAGGTTCCTTAGCAAAGTCAATGTGGAACTACCATTTTTCTGTCTCCAGCACCTACAAGCATGTGTATCCTACCCCGTCCAACAGGTTGCCCAGCAGCCCTCATGCTAGACTTGGGTTCCAACTGAGTATAAAAGGACAGACCTTTCTCATGTGCCTTTTAAGTCCCACTTTTTAATTTTTTTAATTTTTTATTTTATTTATTTATTTATTTTTAAAGATTGACACCTGAGCTAACAACTGTTGCCAATCTTTTTTTTTTTTCCTGCTTTTTCTCCCCGAATCCCCCCAGTACATAGTTGTGTATTTTCGTTGTGAGTCCTTCTAGTTGTGGCATGTGGGATGCTGCCTCACCGTGGCCTGATGAGCGATGCCATGTCCATGCCCAGGATCCGAACCAGCGAAACCCTGGGCTGCCGAAGTGGAGCGCGCCAACTTAACCACTTGGCCACGGGGCCGGCCCCCTGAGTCCCACTTTTTTTTTTTTTTTTTTAGATTTTTTTTTTTTTTCCTTTTTCTCCCCAAAGCCCCCCGGTACATAGTTGTATATTCTTCGTTGTGGGTCCTTCTAGTTGTGGCATGTGGGACGCTGCCTCAGCATGGTCTGACGAGCAGTGCCATGTCCGTGCCCAGGATTCGAACCAACGAAACACTGGGCCGCCTGCAGCGGAGCGCGCAAACTTAACCACTCGGCCTCGGGGCCAGCCCTGAGTCCCACTTTTTAGACCTCAGTTTCCATTGCCTGGAAGAGGAGTTGAAACTGAGTGTTCAGATGTTTCTTCCTGTGGGCACCAATCTCTTTTGACTTAAAAGAGCCTGCCTTTCCTGATTGGCTGGCAGACATTCTTCATTTTGGACTCTGTTGTTCTTGAGAGGTTATCCGTTATAGACTGATTTTGAGACTCTCAAAATTTTTATTTTGTTTTTACCTCTTACTAATGCAGATGTAAGATCTATTGGTCTTTATAGTGGCATTTTTTATAATTTCTAAAGCGCATCCACAGTGGGGGGAAAATTTTAACTTAGTCACTGAAAAGTTGATGAACATTCGAGGCTTGTCACACTCCCCCGCTACACCCCTACACATCTTCCACCTTCCATAAAGTAGCGTACATTTTAAAATGAAAATTTCTGAACTCAGTTTGTCAAGTCTTTAAAATTATATGCCACGCTGCTCAGTACAGAATAAAAAGTGAGTTGGTATGCCTCCCAGGGCCCCTCAGAGTGAACTTGGAATGTACCACGTAGTTTATATTTTAAGTAAGACTTGTCTCCAGACAGGCCCTCCAAATTTGGCAAAACTTTGTCCAGCTGCCTTGGCAGGATGTAAGAACAGTAACAAACAGAAATTAATTTTATTCCTATGGATTTCTTTTATACGAATAGTATTTTAAAAGATTTTAGAGTAACTGGCAAAAAGTATAAGTGCTAACATTTATACAGCATGAAATAGAAACATCTAATTCATTTGTACCTACATAGATGTAAGGAAGTATAAAAATGTGAGTGCCATTTCCTTTTAAGTCAGAAATTAAACTCTTAGCCTTCTTTGTCAATTGTAGAGCTGTAGTGTCCCCTGGTGGGATTGATGGTAACTGCGTGGAAACAAATATAGCAAAATAAAGCAAGAAAAGCTGTATTTACCTTCAGGATTTCAAGCGTATTCTTTCTAATCTTGATGTTAGGAAAGAGGATAATTATGAGTAATGTAATCCTACTGCTTGAAAAGCTTCAGTTTGCTTTCCTTTTCACATAATGCCCACTTAGTATTTGTCTATTATAGTCTTCCTGAAAACTGATTTTTGCTGATTCCAATTTAATTTTATTCTCAGATTATAACATGATTCAGTCATTTACCCACTTCTTTCTCAACTGTTCAGTTCCTTAGTAATGATGCGTGTTCTTTATTCTGAAACATCTGTCAAATGCTAGGATTAACTTGTTAATGTTGACATTAGGTAGTTTTAACTTTAACCTATGTAGATAATAGAATTTTATTTGGTTCTTTGAATAGGTCATACACTCTTATGGTTCAAAGTTCACAAGGTAAAAATTGATCTCCTGCTGCTGTTCCCCAGCTAATCAGTTTCCCTCTTCTGAGGCAGCTACTGTTTTGAATCTCTGGAAATATTTTATGTATATCCAGACAAATACATATATGTTCTTCTTTCCCCTTCTTTACACAAATGGGCACGTACTGTATCCTGCTCTGCACCTTGGTTTTTTTCACTTAGCAATTCAGTAGAACTTCAGTAAATATTTGTTGACTCTTGATTGGTTAAGAGCATAAACTCTAGAACCAGACTGCTTTGGTTCAAATCCCATCTCTGTCACTAACTACCTGTGTGACCTAGGACAAGTTACTCCACCTGTTTGCCCTTGCTTTCTTTGGGTATAAAATGGGGATAATACAGATAGCACCTGCCTCCCAAACTCGTTAGAGGGTGGAAGAGTAAGCCACAGGTGCTGTGATCATGGGTATAACCCACGCTGTCACCATTACAGTTATTGCTGCTGTCATCACCATTATGCCACAGCAATACATATAGAATTTCTGCATCCCTTTTTTTGCACCTGTATTCCATTGATTGGAATGTTATAGATAAAGAGAACCTTAGAGATAATCTAGTTCAGTCTCATTTCATGAGTTATCTCAGTGTCAGAGAACTTCATGTGTACAAAACCTTTGTATGATTATACAAATTAGTACAACAATTTCCCCCAAATGATCCAGAATGTAAAAATAGACACTAAGAAAAGAAAATAGATATGAACATCTTTTCATGTTGAAATTTTTAATTTTGAAAGTAAGGTTCAAATAGTAAATGAAACAAACGGTTGGGGTTTTTTCCAACATAAGCACTTTGTACAGTTTTAAAACCAGATTCATATTTTACTTCAGATGAGTTGGTTTTCTAGTTTGTTAATTTTGGCACCTATCTTTAATCTCCTTTCTTTCTTAAAAATCCATTGATGATGGTTATCTTTATGGAACCAGCAGTAGAGCTGCCCCTGAACAGTTATTTTCCAGCTTATGTAGCAATATGAGCAAATCATTGTAGTTTTTACCTGCCTACCCCAATTTCAATCATATGGACCTTGTGGTTAAAAACTTTCAAATGATGATTTTTTTTTTTCTATTAAGGGGCTGTCAAAACTACTGACTGTTGAGAGCATAAGGATTGCTTTTTTGCCTCTCTAATTGCGAATGAAAAAAATAGATGTAGAGCAACTGAATGCCACTTTCAGTAATAATTTCTCTATATTTCTTGTTTCTTATTCTTTCAAACTCAAACACTTCATTCAAAAACTGAGGAAAATATATTTGAGATTTTTTTTTCTTTTGCATCCCTAGACCTTAGGCATGCCAGACATCCTCTATTTAACAAATCTTGAGGTTTTTCTCTTTAGCTCTAATTCATACAAGAATACAGTTCACAAGGGATCCAACTCTAATTCATACAAGATTGTTTAATTCACAAGGGATCATTCAGGTGGTTTAAATTGAGCCTTTTATAACAGTGTTTTAAAATAACAATCACATTTACATAGTTATGTAAATAACTAACTGCATTATCTATAGTTATTTATATACTTAAGTGGTAACAGTTATATGTATATAAATTTACATGGTGTTTATTGTGTACCAGGCACTCTTCTAAATGCTTTACTTATATAACCTCCTTAGAGTTGTTGTAAAGAATAAATCAGTTAGATACTATTACTACCCTTTATTTAACAGATAAGGAAACAAGCACAGAGAGATTAAGCACTTTGCCCAAGGTCACACAGCTGGGATTTGGACTAGACTCTCTGACTCCAAAGTTTGTGCTTTTAACCAATGTACTACGATAAATTTGTTCTTTGGTGTAAATATTTTTGAATATGTTTAAAACTCAAAAATATTCTCTGTTTTAAGCTGTCGGCAAAGATTCAAATGCTCTTGCTTATAAAATTTTATTAAAAATAAAAAATGGTCCCTACTCACTCAAAACATGGTCTTTTCAAGGAATGGGTAGGACAATAACATATTTTGAAATTTTGTATTTTTTTCAAGTAGACACAGTTGAGATATTTTGTCCATAGGGATTTCTTACCCTTCCAAAGAAACCAGAGACAAGCTTGAAAAGTGTGGCTTTTAGAGTATGGGGGCACTGTTTGAGATGGATCGGTGTAGTCTCAGGGAGGCAGAACCAGATTGGAACTGTAATATGAGTAATTTTATTCTACCATATATGGAAAACACTAGTTAAAATAGAAGGAGAATATTAGAATGATAAAAAAGGATCCCAAAGAGACAACCCTGGATTTGTACTGCCTATTCAAGCACAATCAAGGTGGGAGAGGATTCTGCTCTAGAAGCATTTCTGTTTCCTTGGCAGAACTGTTGTCTTAGCTGAGAGATTCTTAAGACTACTCAAGTCTTTGTGTTGTGTCTCTGTACTCACCACAGCACCGTCTGATCATTTGGCTTTCCAAGTAGCTTACCAACAGGTTAAAAACGTATTAATCAAACAAATTTTAAAAATTGTATTAACAGGTAAAAAAAATGTATTAGTTGAAGTGAGGGATACAGATGAAACATTCTGGGAAATGGTGATTATTGTTGAAGCCAAGGGTTAAGTGCATCAGGGCATAGTGAGGGTGTTCGTTATTAATATTATCATTCTTCTCCCTACTTTTGTGAATGAACATTTCCATAATAAAACGTATCGATTCCAAGAAGTGCAGGTGTCTTTGCCACTTGACTGTTGTGTTTCTTTTAATAAATTGAGTAATTGGCCTTCTATTTAAAAATATCAGTCTTTGCTCAGTCATTGCAAATCAAGTTCACCTTTAGATGTGCCGATAAAACTAGGTATCTGAATTTGCAAGACTACAGGACATACACCAGATTTTGGGAAATTAACCAAAGAGATGCCCTTGTCAGGATGCTTGATGATCAGCCAGCTACACTTCCCTCAAAACTACTTCCCTCAAAGCTACTTCACCTTTGTTAATAGGCTTATTTGCAAATATTTCCTTAGGCAAATCTTTAAGTCATTATTTCTCAAATCAGAGAGTGAAAGTTCTGAAGGTTGAAAGATATGAATTCCTCTTTTTCAGAGTGATATAATTTCTTCTCCCTGTTGTGTTATTACCATCCCCTCATCTTTTAAATTTTGCTTGGTTAATTCTCTAGTTCTTTTTTATGTCTTTAGTCATATCTTTCTCAAAGCTGATAAATACTTTATTAAACCCTCCTCCATTCTATTTTTAAACAAGCTAGTCTGTTAGAGGAGGCCATAGGTGATAAATATCAAAACTATACTTTATAAAAAGCATTCCAGCTAATAAGTGAAGGAGGAGATAGAGTTATAATATTATCACTTTGTAACCTGTGAAGATTAATAACTCTAGGCAGTAATCATCAGTGACTCCTAGTATCATGAAAGAGAAACAATCAGACATGAGTGCTTTTTGGTGTAAGTACACAAGACTACCAGTGAAATGTTCTTGCCAAAATATCAAATCTGGATCTAACCAAGCCTCTGCACCTAACTACCAGTATACTACAGGAACTATAGAGAGGGCAAAGGAACACGTATGTTAAATGACATCATGGAGACAGAGAGAGAGTTAACGCAATCCCAAATGTGGGAAATTCTATGGGATTTCCTAGGGAGTAGAGGGAATCTGTAGATTAAAAGAACTATAAGCTATCAACCAGTTACAATCTATGGATGTTGGATTTGAACAAACTGTAGAAAACTGTTTATGATAAGTTTGGGAGAATTTGAATACTGACTGGATAATGATGATTTTTTTCAAGTTTTATATATGTATACAGTTATAGTTGTATATACTGAAATATTTATAGATGAAATTGTAAGACACCTTGAAATTGCTTTAAAGTAATGCAGGAGTAAGGTGGGAGGAGTGAGTGGAGGTGTGGCTGAAACAAGAATAGCCTTGAGTTGATAATTATTGAAACTAGGTGACGGATACATGAATGTTCAGTATACTGCTCTCTTTACTTCTGTATGTGTTTCTAAATTTCCGTGATAAACAGTATTACAAAATAACTATTAGATTTATGATTCTGGCCCTACAAAGATTTCTTAACATTTCTTTCCTTGGCTATTTAAAGCTGTCTTTTATATATATTATATATATATATATAATATATATAAATATATATATAACAGATACATTGGCCTTTTACTTACTTGAAAAAATTCATGTAAATCTGATTCTTGCAAATAAAGACATTTTCCGTATAGTTACACTGTTACTCTTTTACTAATATAAAAATCTATTTATAAACCTTTAATCACTAACTTTTTAAAACATAAGTTCAAAGTTTTACATATAGGACTTACTTTAAAACAAGATCACTTATGCCTTCTTATAGTATGTCTTATCTATTTCAACTAAATGTGTCTTAAATTTAGTTGGTAAAAAGTTATTTTTGATAGTACGTTGAATCTTATTTTACTTTTTAGTTTTTTCTAAATCTGCAAGCCAAACTCTTATTCACCCTCTTTGAGATCTTAATTTTTGTATTATCTATACTTTTTGTTTCCCAGATAAAAATCTATTTATAGCTTTCTAGTTCAGTATACCACCAATATTAAGCCTCTGAAGATTAATAGCCTGCTACTTATGAAGTGTCCTAACCTTAAACATCATTGACTTTTTGGGTTTAGTTTTGTTATAGTTTAGCTGTTTGTTTACCTCATCGGCTTGGATGTTCATTACCATCACATGGAATTGATTGTGTTTTTGCTTTAGGTACTTGCTACAACCAAGAGACAATGGAAACAAGTCATCTAAAACTGATGACCTGGGGTCTCTTCGATTAAATATATGTTATACAGAAGACTATGTGCTTCCTTCAGAGTATTATGGTCCTTTGAAAACTTTGCTGCTAAAATCACCAGATGTTCAGGTACTTTAAAAGTCTTAAATGTATGATTTAATATAAAAAGGCTAAAATAATTCTGTAAATGATAAGGAAAAGATTTCAGAGTATAAAGTCTTATAAAAACAGTTAAATATATATATGTATACTTAATTTATCTGAACCACAGTACTGTGATTTCAGTATGTGCTCCAAATTTCATCTCTGATAAAAATTTAGAAAATCAAATACTATTCTATACAATGGTTATCATTAATGAAGATATTTGAATTACTTGTACAGGCTAGTGATTGAACATTTGGTCATGTTTCCTTGATTTTATGCTTGTTGTCTACCTTTCTCTATTCTAGCCGATATCTGCCTCAGCTGCTTACATTCTGGGTGAAATATGTCGAGATAAGAATGATGCTGTTTTGCCCCTTGTACGACTGCTGCTGCACCATGACAGACTTGTTCCTTTTGCCACTGCGGTGGCTGAGTTGGACTTGAAGGATACACAGTAAGAGTTATATTAAATGTTACTTATGCATTGTGGACAATGGAACTCAGTTTACCAATTTGTTTTTGTAATTTTGGTTCTTTTGTATTGATCAGCCTTTCTGTAGGATAGTCTGAAAAGAACTGCTTAGCAAGTAATAAAAGGCAGTTAAGTTAGCAAACAGTATCCACCAATAGTAAACAAGTAATGAAAGGATTTTTTTTTACCCAGCAGCAAAATTTCCTATTACTAAATCTTTTTTTCTTATTGTAATGATTTAAATGTCACAAATAAAAGGTTATTTTTTCCTCTTCCATTATCTGTCACCCTTATATGCATGTGTGACATTATAAAAAGCAGTCAGAAGACTTTTGTTCTTGTTATAGTCCAACACTGTTTTACACACACACACACACACTCACACTCCCTACACTTTTTTAGTTCATAAATATGGTTTACTATTTTTTTTTAACTTATTTTCTTATATTTTCGGTAAGTAGTTTTAAGTTTGAAAATCCTGATGGCTGCAACTTTTTGAATGGATGGTAAAAATTACTAAAATTGTATTTATGACCAAAGTCAAGTATCTCATATTATTGATTTCACAGCCTCTGTTCACTACACTTGATTTCACTTTATTTCTATTTGTTTTTCAGAGATGCAAACACAATTTTTAGAGGAAACTCCTTGGCTACCCGATGTCTGGATGAGATGATGAAAATAGTGGGAGGGCACTACCTGAAAGTAACATTAAAACCTATTTTAGATGAGGTACAGAATATATCTCTGATGATAATAGTTTGTGTGGCCTTATGGTAACATCTCTTTCATCAGGTGATCTCTGGATGGGAATGACATATCTGTTCATGTATTACTGAAAAAATAAGGCTGAACACTTGTGAAATAAAATAAATGATTTACTTTTCTATCGGTGGATTTTTACTCAAAGGGCACATTTTAGTCTAATCAACATAATTGTTTCTTTGTTATGGGATTTCTGTTTTAGCTAGAGTTTTAAATATATGAGAAATATTTTTTGATATAGTTCTTTGGGAGTATTCATTATCTCTGGATGGGGCTTTTAAACTTTGTTGCAGTTTTAATTTTTATAATTAACTGTATTATCAGAAAAATAATAGTTATTTTTATTTTGCCAAATTATTTAGAAAAGAACATTAAATGAAAAATTAACATATTTTCCAGATATGTGAATCCTCAAAATCCTGTGAAATTGATCCTATTAAATTGAAAGAGGGAGATAATGTAGAAAATAACAAGGTAAGTCCTTGTTTTCTTCATAGCTGCATTAAAATTGGCCTTAATGATATACCTATCTCCCACCTGTGTTGTAGTGATGTTATGTGGAGGGAAGCAATGCTTTTTATTCTTTACAATAATGCCCATACTATTAGCAGCATTTCTTATGTCTAATTTTTAGAATGTTGTTATTTCCTCATTTGGTTTCATTTTATTTTTGTTCTTGACTGTCTTTTTTTGGCTCTAGTAACAAGAATGGAGTAAGGGTATATCTAGTTGCACCCCACATTCTGGCCATTCCTTTGGGGTCAAACTTATCAGGCCAAGTGGCACAATGACTGGGTTAACCAATACTTTTAAATGCCTCTGGGAAAACAATGATTGTGTTAGAGTCACAAGTTTTCAGTGCAGTAGACAACAGTGCCACAATGTCCATGTGCCTGCATATCTGAGTTATTTCCCTTTGGATCATTTTATTCTCGGCTGCTTCTTGGGAAATTTATTCCATACATTCACTTCTTATACCTAGCTAGTCTAAATCTAATTTATTAAATGAGGTCAGAATGTAAATTGTCTTTTAACTGAATGAGTTTAGAGAAGGAAAGCAGAGCTTTAGAATACTAGATAGTGACTGCCTTTTTTGCAGTCATTGCATTTTTTCCCATAAAGGCTACTGAAGGTGTGTAAAAGTCAAAATCTTGATGTTTACCTTTTAAAATCCTACAGGAGAATCTACGCTACTATGTAGACAAGTTATTCAGCACAATTGTAAAGTCAAGTATGAGCTGCCCCACTGTAATGTGCGATATCTTTTATTCTCTAAGACAAATGGCTACTCAGAGATTTCCTAGTAAGTGCTTTGTTTTACTAAAACATGCCATTTCTCATTCTATATTTGATTTTTTTTTGTAGATTTATTGTGGATTTGGTTTATGTGAAGTGTTTAAGGTTTATTGGTAGTCTTCTTTAGTTTTTCAAAGTAGTTCTAGCTTTTTTATGAAAATTCTGATTTAATTTTCTTGTAATCTGAAAGCATTTTCTGGTTTTCTTTCAATATGGTGGCAACTTTTTACAAAGAGCAAATCAAAATCACCATTATTTTTAAGAAAGGCAAAAATTTAGAACTATATAACATTATATAAGTAAACATTTATACCAGGTGCTTATGAGATTGTTAAATATAATAAACAAAAACACCTTTGTTATTTGTACCAACTACCTTTTCCACTTGCATGCATTCAAATAGTGATAATTTTTAGTTCCGTACAACTGACTAGATTTGACAGTTTGAGAATGCTAAGGTTTTTTTGGTGAGAGATTTTTACAGAAATGATTTTAGACATTAGAAACATCTCTGTTGCGATATACATAGAGTTTTGAGGTACATATATCAATAACTGGCATGCTTTAATTTTGTAAGAGCAGCTGTGTCAAGGCTTTGCTTAGAAACATTTCATAAAATTAGGAGTTGCTATCTCTGTTGTCAGTACTTGGAATTATTCTAATTTTATGCATCTCTGATAAGTAATAAACTTACTGTAGCTATTTTTCCAGATCTGCCTGTAATAGGGGGGCGGATGAGGAGGCAATGCAGCTACTTAAATTACCAGTGTTACCAGCTATGTGAAACGATGTATTTATTTCTGTAACCATCTGAAGAGATTTTGTTATTTTATCATGTTCTTTTAAGTGTGTATATGCGTATGCACATACACGTGTGTATAGCTGTCTGCCTCTCCACAAAATTTTTCCTGTGCTAAAGTGGTGGGACTGAGTTGTCCACCTAACATGTAGATAAATTCAGACCTAGATGTCTCTGCTAAGTATAGTAAAGACATAAACAATTAACTTCAAATAAGTAGACTAAATCTAGTCTTTGTAACAAGGATAAGGGGAGCAGAGACATCAACATATGGAAAGATGAAATGCTGACTGAAATTGTATTTTAAAATAGTGAGTTAGGTCGTAATAAGCACATTACGTCCCTAATGACTGAACAGGCACAGTGCTAGCCTACAGTCTCGCCTGCTCTCATCTGCCTGCTGCCACGTGAGGGGGGTACTGCTCCCCTCAGGTAGATAATGAAACTGAGGTTTAGAGAAGTTAAGTAACTTTCCCAAGGTCCGTGACATGACCAGCAGGTGAGAAGCGTCTCAAACCTGGGCCTGGCCCCTTCCAAAGCTTGCTGCTAATCGCTGTACTCTACACTACCCAGTGATCTTGGCCTTACGCATGCATTCACTGTTGAATTCTTGTTTATGTAAATGATCTAAAACACATTTTATGATTTTTTTTTAATAAATGCAAACATATCTCCCTAACTATTTTATGTTGGCTTAAATATTGATATGTCTTCATATCCTTAGTAGACTACAGTAGTGATAGTTTTGTTGTTATAAAATATTTTCATATTTTCTAGTTTGTTCTTACTAGCGTGGGAAGATGGGTGGGGAGCAGGGAGGAGGCAATAAGTGGGAAGCAAGTGTGTTTAAAGAATTACAAAGTAATTGACTTGTTGATGACTATCTATTGAGTGACTTAAGAGTTAAAACTCAAACCAAATCCAGACATTCTCTTACCACCTGCTTCTCTACCATCTGATTGTTGGGTTAAGTGTTGACTCCAGTCAAAATGAAAGCTTAGGGAAATGATAAGAGCCAAAAGTTAGCTTGAGTTCATCTGTATTTTTATATGGAATATTGATAGCTTTTTTAAAGGTGTGTAGCCTTGATATTATCAAGAGTTTTTAGGGGAAAATTGAAACACTACCCTAAAACTGAAAACAATCTCCTGTCCTAGTCTTGAGGGATTCAATATTACCACTAGGTAGTGCTAGATACCGCTTTCATGTTTGTTGTAATTTCACGAGTCTCTTCTTTGAGATGAGGAAAGAGGTATTTTTCCAAATTAAAATTTTTCTGAACACATAGCACTTTGCCTTTCATTTTCTTTATTATTTCTTTCAGATTTCTTTAGTCACAGGATTTTTTTCCTTTAATTTAGTCATAATCATTGCTATCATTTCATCAAGTCAATCCTTACTAGGCAAATAATATTGATCTCCTATTTAGTTGACATGTTTTTTCAGTACTTTTTACTTTGTCATCTTTGTTTTTTAATTCAGTGTTTTTGTGCATGACATTTCACCATTTTTTTCCTGCAGATGACCCTCATGTTCAGTATTCTGCCGTGAGCAGCTTTGTATTTCTTCGTTTCTTTGCTGTAGCCGTAGTATCACCTCATACTTTTCATTTGCGACCTCATCATCCAGTAAGTGTTGTTCTCAAAGCTTTATTCCATTTTTATTTATTTTTGTTTAAAATGAAGAAAAGATAAACAAGCCAAATTCACTTAGCTATATTTTCTTAAAACTGATACTTAAATTTACTGGGCATTTTTCTTGGCCATTTCAGTCTTTCAGAGAAGGCTGAAAGTTGAATTTTTTTTGCTGTTAAAAGATACTACACAAGAGTAATAAAATGTTGATAATTGTTGAAGTTTGGTGATGAACACAAAGAGAATTCAGTGTATTTACCCTCTGCTGTTGTGTATGTTTGTAAATTTCTATAGTCCAAAGATTGTCTTTTTTTCATTAGTTCTAGGTTTAATCTGGCAGATTTTTTTTTTTTTTATAAACTTTTTTTTTTTTTAAAGATTTTATTTTTTTTCCTTTTTCTCCCCAAAGCCCCCAGGTACATAGTTGCATATTCTTAGTTGTGGGTCCTTCTAGTTGTGGCATGTGGGACGCTGCCTCAGTGTGGTTTGATGAGCAGTGCCATGTCCACACCCAGGATTCGAACTGACGAAACACTGGGCCGCCTGCAGCAGAGCGCGCGAACTTAACCACTTGGCCACGGGGCCAGCCCCAATCTGGCAGATATTTTTAAATCTCACAGAAATTTGAAGAGGCTCATTTCTGAAAGATGTAGAAACTTTTAATTGGAGCATAATTTGTTTGGTAGCTCTATATTTTTATTTTTTATTCACCTGAGATGATACTTTAAATATATAAAATATAAAACTTTTTTAAAGCATATAATCTTTTTGTTCTGAAGTCCTATTTAATTACTTAAATCTGAACCTACACTGCATGGATTTATATGTTTCTTAACATTTTAAAACTGCTTACATTTGCTATGTTTCTGTTTCCTTTTCATACAATATATTTTGCTGATTCTTTAATCTTTTCTGTTCCAAATATTTTATAACCTTATATAATTGCTTTTGTTGCCGATTTGTGTAACAAATAATAATAACCAACTTTATTTAGTGCTTACTTTGTCCTAGGCCTTGTTTTAAGTACTTTATGTTTTAACTTACTTAGTCCTCCCAGTAACCCTGTGAGGTAGATTCTGTTATCATCCCCACAATTCAATAACTTCTCCATAGTCACAACTAATAAATTATGATTTGAGCTCCTTCAGTTTGAACTGGATTAAATCAGAATTCTGACTCAGTCTTCCCAATCTGTGCGCTTCCCCCTGTTCCTTCAGCCTCTTAGGCAGTCAGGTGTTGGAGCCCCTGTATGTATTGCACACTGTGCTCAGCACTGAGGCGCCCTGATGAGAAAGATGGTCCCTGCCCTTGGGAAACTCACTGACTGATAGAGTATAGGGAAGACGCATGGGTTTTGGAGTTAAGCTGGGCTCTGAAGGCCACTCCTCCTCTTGACAGTTGTATGACATTGGCCTCTTATTTAACTTTGCAAATGGGATAGAATCATGCTGCAGTGGCAGCAACACATCCTTGACAGAGGACAAACAGTCTGAGTAGCTGCAGCAGAGAGTGGACCAGTGTCCTTTTGTTCACAGGGCTGTCTTTTCTGTGGCTATGTTACTGAAGCTGTACTGAACTCTGGGGCAGTGAAAGCCTGGTAGCAGCATTCTGGACATAAACAGAGCTCCTGCCTCTGAGCTTGTGACCCTGCCTTGAATTCAGACTTGGGTTTGCATATTCCTGTAACAGATGTTGCAATAAAGTCCTTCTAACCACAAACTCTGTATTTTAGGTCACTTTTCTGATCAGTATGCCGGAAGGGCTGCTTTATACTGTCATTGAACTTTATTATTTGCTTTTAAGTATAACTTTATCCCTTCTTTTTAAGAACTTTTCATTCTAATTGGGAAAATAGAGCAAATGCATAAGATACATAATCTAAAACTACCTATGTAAATCTGAAACTAGCACCTGATTAGTATTAAGTAAGGAGGATAGACAATTCATACTACACAAATTGAGAGCAAGGAATGATCCCTGGGACCTGGGGGTGCTGACATTGTCAAGACCAGTATTGAAAGTTACAGTGTGATTGGGGAGAAGAACTGGTTAAAAGTTGTTAGATTTTACATTTAGAAGTTCTTTGAATTTTGAGAAGCCAGTTTTAGTAGAGTAGAAGAGAAGAAAATCAGATTGCAGAAAATTAAAGAATAAATAGATGAATGTAGTTTTTCCTGGGAAATGTATCAAAAGTGATCTTGCTCTACTGCTAAAAGACACAGGCAAATTCAAGCATGTACACGTGTGTGTGCATACACGAATGAATAATTTTTTTTACAAAACACTCATTTTAAAATATGGGTTTGTTAACATTGACATGGTTAGACCACTCTTTGGAGAAGTTTCGTGGTGGGGAAAAAAAAAGAGCTGAACCATCCTTCTCATCACATCGCCTATTCTCTCATTGGTGGCTCCTTTCAAAACTCAGCCAGGGCAGACCTCTCTAGCCCTTCACTCTGGGTTAGTGTCTCTCATGTGTGCCTGTAGCACCCTGTGGCTCTATCTGTCATGGCATTTGTCGTACTGTTTTATAGTCATCTGTTTATAGTTTCTGCATGTGGACTGTCAATACCTTAAGGCAAGGGCTGAATCTTTTTCAAGTTTGCGCATCCCAAGCACATGGCACGTTTTCTAGGACAAGTAGATGCTCAGTAAATGTTTGTTAAGTGAAAGATGGTAGCTCAGAGAGGGAGCCTATCAAATGGTGAGTCTTTTCCAAAATGGGAAAACCTATATATGGTTTAGATAGGGGAGAACAGACTAACAGAAATGGAGAAATTGAAGAGAGAACGGGGCTTACTGATACCAGATCAGTATCCTGGAGGATTCAGAAAGAGTGTCTTTAAAAGAAAAAGTGATGGAGTAAACTTTGGGAAAAAGAACAGTTCTTCCTTTGAAATATTATGGTGAACCATGTGAAATTATTTTGTTTTTTATAGATCAAAAGTAGTCAAATAACAGTAATATCATATATTTCAACCTAATATAAGGAAAAAAGGGTAGGGTATGTTGTTTTGAGGTGAGAAATTCAACAGTTCAGTTGAATTTACTAAATGGTAAATAGCATCTGCTATATGCCAGTGCCAGGTTCTGTACTAGGTGCCGATATCTAAAGTACTGGACGTCTGTGAAAAATTATGATGGCAGATGGTGGCAGGGGAAAAATTTATAACAGCTTATATGTAGAGTAACACCAGTGAATCAAGAGTAGCTAAATGACATGACTGTCAAATAGTAGTGAGGGCCGTGTTGATCTCTGATATGCAGAAATTATATAAAATATGCTTTGTTCCCTTCTTCTAATTCAGGGAAATAATAACCTAAAACACTGATTTTAAAACCAGATTTGAACAGGGAAGTCTTGGTGAAATTCAGTTCAAATTTAGTTTATTAGCACATTGTTAAGTTTTATATTCTTCAAAGGCAGAGAATTGTGGGGACTTTTTATGCATATAATGGAATCCTGGATGTTCTAGCTAAAATATTTCTGGATAACCTTAATTAAGTTGTATAACTGTTTCATAAGTATATCATAATGATCATATCCCAGATATTCCTTCTTTTCCATATTACCTTACATTCTGGTCATCTCTTCCGCTTCACATTCACTGCCTATTTTCAATGCGGAGATACTAAAATATTAAGGAATATCAACCAAAAACTAAACTAAAGCATTTCTCTATCTAAATTTCCTTAAGTATGTCTTTGATGGAAGATTTTGTTTTTTTGAATTCCCAAAACAAAGAAAAATGTTCTATATAGTGATAGGGAAATTGGTTATACAGGTTTATGGATTGGTGAAAACTCATCAGGCTATATCTACACTTAAAATCTGTTCATTTCACTGTATGTAAATTATAACTCAATAAAAAAGGAAGGAGCAAGGTGTTTAGTCAATTTTATTTGTATTTACTTCTTTCTGGTAGACAGGCCTGAAAAACACCTTGGATAATAGACCCAAGTAGTTACCTTACGCTAAGATGCTAAGATCCTACCATGAACTGGGTGACTTCTTATTTCCTAGGTTGAATTTAGGTCTTTGCTTCCATGGTGAAAAGAATTGATTGCAGAAGCTATATAAATTATTGAATATGCTTAGAGGTAGGTTGAGTACAGAAAATTTGAAAACTGCCATTTTAGGTTAGAAGGTATAAGCCACTGACATTTCAAAAGTGAATACAATTTGTTGGGTAATTCAAGCTGCCATACTATACAAAACAATATGTATAATGTTAATTGAATTATTGCTTTCAAAAGTAATGCATCATTAAATATAATTACTTTGGGAGGAATTGTCAATCATATATGGCTTTTTTAGTGTCTTAATTCTTTAGTCTAGTGAGTTGTGCCCATCCTTAGCTAGATTTTAACTATGTTGGTGGTTTGAATGAACATTTTTGAACCACTGTTTTAGAGCAATGTAGCCCATTCATTCTAGTCTACTTTTTATACAAATTCTATTTCTTAAAAACTTAACAGGAGTTTTGTGTGTTCTTTTACGTTCTTTAGGATGCACAGACAATTAGAACATTGACTCTTATCTCAAAAACCATTCAAACTTTGGGAAGCTGGGGGAGTCTGTCCAAAAGCAAGGTAAGTCTTCACATCTTTGGCCTTGTTTTCATACTTTTAAATGTTGTTATGCCCTATGATCCCTTCTTCCTCCTTCACTCCCTTCTAAATTAAAAGCAAAGCAAACAAAAAATATATAGATACAAATGCAATAGCTGTCTTTTAGATAGATGTTATGTCTTAGTCACTTGTTAAAGAAGACAGTTCCATTTAAACTAATATATCTAAGAGGGGGAGATGCAAGAACCTTCTATTTGTTCCTACCATAGTCATCTAACAACTGTTGAAAGAAATCTTCAGCTCCAAGCCCTATAACTCTCTTGAAAAATATTTTTGAATCCTTTTAAGCCTTAATTGTCAGCTTAAAAACACAGCCCATTATGTTCCTAGTTCTCTACTTAACATATATAAATCCTGTTTTTTTTTCTTAGTCAAGTTTCAAAGAGTCATTCATGTGTGAGTTTTTCAAAATGTTTCAAGAAGAAGGATATATTATAGCAGTTAAAAAGGTATGATTGTTTTACTCTGGAAATATTAACATTTCTTATCATATAGCATTGGGGAAATAACATTTCTTGTTATTCCTATGAGTCAATCCCAAGTTTAAAAAAATTATAATGTTTAAACTGTCCATCAAATATAAAAAGGCTATCTTTTTCTTCCTTTCTCCTCCCATACAAAACTGTGGGTTTTTAAGCTGTGAAAATACCTTTTAGTATTTATTTAAATGCCTTTTAGTATTTAGAGTAAAATTCATTTAGATGAGTTTTATCAACAGCTCCGGTTACCAGTGTCTTAGTAACACAAATTACAAATATCTAGAGTTAGGGTTTCTTAACAGCAGCACTCTTGACAATTTGGTTGGATAATTCTTGTTGAGGGGCTGTCTTGTGCATTGTGTGTTTAGCAGCATCTCCTGGCCTCTACCAATTAGCATGCCCCCGGTTTTGACAACCAAAAATGTCTCTAAACATTGCCAAATGTCCCTTAAGGGATAAAATTGCCTCTCTGACTGAGAACCTCTGGTCTAGGAGTAAAGGCTTAATATGGTGCCTGATGTATAGTGGGCACTTAATTGCCGTAGTAAAAAATATATGAATTATTGCACATTTTATAAACAATATAAGTTTATCGTAGTAACCTGAGGAGAGTTACTATAAATTAAAATGTATAAAAACCTACAGTATATTCTATCCTAACATGGGGCCTACAACATAGAAAACTTGCTGTACTTAGAAGTTGAGAATGTTTGGAAAGAATTTCTAATTTCTTGAGTCTTTAGTTCTGAATCATCCTAAACAAAATGCAGCATTATTGTAAAACCCTAAAAATTTCTAAAGAAAAGTTGTTTTGAAGTACATCTAAACTTGGCTTGAAGAAAGTACTGTATCTTATCTTCACAGTTCTAACTTAATGAATGCAAATTAGCAAGGCCAAATTTTAAACATTTCATTCAATTTCTGTAGTATAATTTACAGTTGATATCTAAGAGTATATTTTGTTGAAATATATGTTTGTACTTTTAAAATTCTTACAGGAACTCAGTAAATAAAAATCATTTAAAAAATTAAAGTCCGTTGGAATTTTTTCATCTAGAATACTGCAAGTTCAACCAAAATTTTTTTAAGCAACCACTGAAGGCTTTTGAGGGGGAAATCTTTCAAAAGAATAGGCAAAGGAAAAGCTGCCCTTTTATTTTTAGGACATTGTTGAAACATTTGTGGGATAGCGTAGGCAGACTTTTGTTGGCAAGATTCTGATGTACTGTCTTTTGTTTTAGGGTTGTTTTTCTGTTTTTTTACGACCTAGGCTATGGTAGCATCTGATTTTTTCCCCCTGATATAATCAGAATATGTAGAGTTGGTAATGTCAGTGGGGGAAGTATTTAAGGGTGCCAACAGTTTAGTCTGCTCCTGATCTGCCCTGAGTCACCCACTCACATCCTGATGTGAGATGCAGCATAGTGCATTCTCCTGTCTCAGATTTGGTTCTAGACTCCTAAACTAGCATAGGATATTTTGCCCTAATATGAGAGAGGTTTTTAAAAAATTATTTACTAACTAAATCTGGATATGTGCAGTGCTAGAAATTGCGAAAGCTTATGAACCCCAATTTCTCATTTCGTACTGGTGTTCTCGCTAGTGGCATTGACCCCTGCTCCAAAGCAAAATAGATTATAATTCTGAATCTTGTACTATTCCCACAGAGTTTAGGAACAGTAACCTGGATAGGTCTATAAACAGAGTGACCATATAACGTAGCATCCAAACTTGGACACTTTAAAGAGTGGAAAGGAATACTTTTGGTTATGTTGTAAGCACAATTGTAGACAGGGACAGCCCTGAGCAAACTGAGACCTATATTCACCCTACCTACAGTCCATCTTAATTATTGTTTTCTTTAACTTTATATAACTGTATTTACCCTACACTTCCTTGTAAATATAACAAATAAATAATGTAATAATTATCATTAATAAATAAGAAATATTTGTCAAAGAAATAAATCAGTGCCTTCAGGCAAATACTAAGAAATGAAATATTCAAATAAGTCTGTTAAACTCCATTAGTGGATGGTCCATCTGTGAGAACTGAAGATGTGAGAAGACACTTCTTTAATTCCCTTGGATACTTGTTCTATATGACCCACATATAATGTGAAAGAAACTCTGTTCTTGTTCTTTCACTTACCAAATAAACTAGAAGTAAACGTTCCTTCCAGCAAACTAGAAGTAAATGTTCCACTGGAAAACCCCACAAGTGTTGGTTCTGGTGGGCAATCTATAGCCAGTCTTAGGAAAAAATGGCTTCGTCCACAAATTCTACTTTATATTAGGGCACTGGTGCCTCAATATCATTTTTATTGGCATGTACTTGGTTTTTGTTTGTTTTTTTAAGTCCTGAGTGGGACAACATAGAAAAGTAAAAAAAGAAACACCAAGAACTAAACAAATAGTTCATTTATGGGGCAAAATAGGATTCCTCTCTAAGAACAAGAGTTGTTCCTCAAACTACTATTTTCCCTTTCCCATGAAGAGACAGCCACATGCCAGGAAGCTTTTGACCAGGCAAGGTAGCATATTCATGAAACTAAATACTCTTCACTGGGTGGCTTGCCATTGCTAGAGATGGGTATTCTATATTTTCTTGAGCCACCACATTCCCACATTCTCCAAAGTAAGTTTATAAGTGGTGATTAGGTTTCCAGATTATTCTAGAGAACCCAATTACACGTCAGTCATAACTGTGAAATACTGTCTCTTAAGGCTGAAGTCAATTATAAATAATAGAAGTCAGCAAACTATTTTCTGCAAAAGGCCAGTAAGTAAATATGTTAGGCTATGCTGGCCACATAAGGGCTCTGCCACATATTCTTCTGCATTTTTATTTTTGTTTTTATAACGCTTTAAAAATGTAAAACTGTTCTTAGCTCATGGGCCTTACAAAAGCAGGCTTCAGGTTGAATTTGGCCCACAGAGCCATAGTTTGGTGATCCCTGACCTATAATATAGATTCAAATTCCTATATCCAAAATCTTTGGGACAAGAAGTATTTCAGAATTCAGTTTTTCAGAGTTTTGAAAGATAATAGGTATATGCCATGTACTATATAATACCCCCCAGTGAGGCCTGGAGTAGCACCCTGTAATCAAACACATTAATGTTTATGTAGCACAGTGTGTGAATATTCACAGTAAATGGGATAAATACAGACTATAAATAGCCTTACACCAGTTCAGGTTAAGTTATACCCCCAAATGAGTTTACTGCAAATCAAAAACAAAGCAAAAAAACTCTGTGTATTCAGAGCTTTATAGATTTCAGAATTGCAGGTAAGGGATTGTGGATTGAATTATTTCTACAGGGAAATACAGTCTGGGTTTTAATAAACTTTTAAAAATAAGCTTTTTGGAATCCCTGTCGTGTGTAAATTAGGGACTTCCTCTACAAATAAGTATGTGTTTTGCCTTACAAATTGCAATTTTGTGTATTCCTTAATAATGAAGAACTTTGTGATATTATCAACATTTAACATAAACTGATTTTATGATGTACCTTATCACAAAGTATAATATTTGCCCATTTTTCCATTTAGTTCTTGGATGAAATTTCATCTACTGAAACTAAAGAGTCCAGTGGTACGAGTGAGCCTGTGCACCTGAAAGAAGGGTAAATTTAATGAAATTAGACAGTAAAGTCGTGTTTCAGTATAGATGTTAAGTAGCTCAAAGAGCATGGGTCTGGCAGTGAGGAATCTGGGTTTTTGTTCTGTGCTGGAACTGCCTAAGTACGTCAGTCAGGTAAGTCACCTCCCTATCCTATAAACTTTGCTACGAGGCAGGACTCCTTGTCCATACTGTCCTAGAGGTGTTTTATAAATGTAATGAGATTATGAGTATTAGAGTACTTTGAAAAAGTAACAACACTATTCAGTGTTAAAGTAGTGTTATCATTAGAAGGTAAAGGGGAACATCACTCATTTGGCCCTTTCAATCCTGGATAGCACAGTTATAAGTATTAAATTAATTAAAGATTTTATTCCCTCAGTGTGGCCAAAATAAATGCAAAAGTTTTAGATGGCCGGACATTTTCATTTACTTAATATAATCTTACACAACCTTTAATGTCATTTAAAATTAAAGGGCAAGTCTTTGTTTTAGATTAACTATTTTAATATGTGTAGCTAAATGTTTACATCTGTTGTTTTGGCAGTGAGATGTATAAAAGAGCTCAGGGAAGAACTCGGATTGGAAAAAAGAATTTCAAGAAACGGTGGTTCTGCTTAACAAGCAGAGAGCTCACCTACCACAAACAGCCAGGTAGTTGTGCTTATGCTCTATTGTGGGGTCTTTTCCTGGTTCTTGGTGAAGACTTCTTTTTTGTTGCTTAATGTGATTCTAGTGAACCTTTTCATTAATATTACTCTAGTTTATAGTTTCTCACAGTGATGCGTACACACTAAGAATGTAATAAATATTTGACAAGTGACACTGTGTAAATTATATTTTTTCACACACATGCTCTATTTTCTAAAAATCCATGGTAAAGCCCTACTGTGTAATCAATATATAAAGGCCTCTTAGAACTTGGAAGTTTCTTTAACTCACAGAGCCAAAGTGGTAAAAATCAATGTCTAATGAATGAGAGTATTTCAGTGGTTTGCTGGATAATGTCAGCCAAAAAGTCCCACAGACTGTGATTCCTATACAGTTATCAGATTCATTCTAGACTCTTGGCCAAGCTCACTCCAAGATGGAAATTTTAATAATTTGCCTCCTGAGAAAGCACAAATGGGCTGTCTATTTGGATAAAGGAGCCATCTTCCTACAGTGTGATTTGAGGCTTCAGAGAGGCAAAGTCTGTCCCTCAGTGGACTGACACACTGCTGAAAATCTCTGCCTTTTAAGTTTATTCCTATGGGATAAAGTGTTACCCATTAGCTCCTTCTCGTATGTTAGCAAGAAGAAGTTAGTGTCTAGATCATAGGTTATATACCGTAGAAGCCCTTTTATTTAAAAAGTGATTAGGATCCAAAGATGTTCACTTAGTCAAAAAGATCAGTTAAAGCAAGAATCAATTAAAGACAAACAAAAAGATGCATACATATCTTAAATACAATCAGCCCTTGGTATCCTCAGATTTCGCATCTGTGGATTCAATCAACCGTAGGTTAAAGGGTCTACAGTGGCCGTGTCTGTAATGAACATGTACAGACTTTGTTTTCTTGTCATTATTCCCTGAACAATGCACTGTAACAACTGTTTACATAGCATTTACATTGTATTGGGTATTATAAGTAATCTAAAGATGGTTTAAAGTATAAGGGAGGATGTGTGTAGTTTAAACGCAAATATTACACCATTTTATATAAGGGACCAAGGATTTTGATATCTGCGAGAGTCCTGGAACCAATCCTCAGCAGATGCCGAGGGATGACTATGTTTACGTATTTGTTTACCAATCTTTTGATAGAGATCCAAGATCTTTTCTTTGAATATGAATCTATAGATTGGCTTTCCCATTTGTCTTTCTTGTGCAAATATGCCACTAATGCATCAGTTTTCAGTGTGATTTCTCCAAAGTGAAGCTAGAACTTAAATACTTGTAAAGTAACCCGAGTACAGGATCCTTTTAGATTTTCGTGATAGTCACCCTAATCTTTTATGGCTCTCTCACCCCCATATAAATCAACTTTATTTGCGTTGGTTTGGGTCTCCTTTTTTGAGGTTCTTCAGAGCACTTGCCTGATTTTCAAATAAATAATAAACCTCTGAGTAGGGGGCACTTATTTTGTCATTTTATATATGTTTAAGTAAATTATAATTACAACATGGGAAAAGGGCATAAATAGGTTTGGTGACAAACCCAACGGACTTGGTAAGCAAAACAGCCTAACCAGTGGAAACAGACACATGCAGGCTAAATAGATAGTAGCCTGGCAACCACGAGCATTCAGCATCCCATGAGCATCATTTGCTACAGAGGAAATGAAGTCTCCATTAATCCATCAAATCTGTTAGGTGCAGCTCTATTAAGAGAGCTTCTGCTATAAATTCTGAAATGATAAAACAAACACCAGACATAGGGTACTTTCGAGAGAATGTAGACTCAGTTAAGTAGAGTGCTTCAGTGGAGATTCTCGAAGAATAGAGAATAAGAAAAACTTTTTGTTTTATAATTCCTTAGAATGGCTTAGGCAAAATGACTACATATGTCCAAATATATTAGTAAGACATAAGCCAAATGCATTTTATTTTTCAGTACTCAGATAATTTGTTATGGCATATAGTTAAATGACTAAAGATCAGTAGGCTACATACTTGCCCTTCCAGACAGCATCTTTTTAAGCTAAGTGTATTTTGAATGCCTTAGAAGTTATAGCTTATGTTGAATACTGTATAAGTGCTCTCGCATATATAGCAGCATTTTAAAAATAGCTATCATAATGTGCTAATTATGTTTACGTTAACAGTACATTGAAATAAAATTTAAGTCATTCTCCGTGAATAAATTAGCTATTTTTTCCTCATTTAAAGCATTTTCTAATCTAAACCAATATTCTAAAGTCTTTTTTGGTTTAAGACTTTAAGAATCAGATGATAGCTTTGTACCCTTTCTGCTAGAAAAATGCACAAGCTAGACCCAAAATTTTGCATATAATTTCAGGGAGTTCGTAGATCCAGAGTCCATCCAGAGTCCTAGAGAACTTCTTTTCTGTTCGGTGATCTTAGAAGGATAACGTTCTACAGAATGATTAGGCTGCCCTAGGTATAAAATGGACATGTTAGAAGTTACATTGTTTCGAAGCCTTAAGAAATTTAACGTGTTGGAATGACATTGGAGAATGAGCTCTGTTATATGAAATTTTGAGATTTACCAAAGCCTACAGTTTTAAGCATCCATGCTTTTTAACTATTTTGATGGATTTTTCCAAAATGTATTACATGCTTCCCTGCCTTCTAAAAGAGTTCATTGAACGTAAGTTAACATTTTCTAGATGACTTTGGGCTGTAATTGATAAATATTAATTATTATGTAGTGCTCTGATTTGGTGATGTTTTCAGGGCTGCTTATGGGTGTGTGCAGCTGTTTACTCCCCAGCTAAATGCCTTGGACTGCTGTGCTTTTTTGTGCTCCTGTGTTTGCTTTATACAGTTTTTCTCCATCCCCTTTATGTTCCAGGCTGTCACCTTAAATTTCTTGTGCTGTCAGTGAATTGTAATATGTAACATCTCACTCCCACCTCCGTCACCCATCTCTGTTTTTTACTGCTAATATACTATGAGTGAGAATGCAAGCACTGTGTGTGTTAAAATTATGCATAAGATTTAAAGGCTTTGATTGAAGACTTCAGGACTTTTCCCTGTGAATAAAGTACATGGGCTTTGGATTCTCTGTTTGGTGGCTCAGCAGATGTTTTGCTTACTTCGTGTTTCCTTGCTGTTTTCTGGACAGCCTAGACGGCTAGTTAAGTCTCTTGCTACACTTCCTGTTTGACTTTGGTGTCTGAAAGAGTGCCTCCCAAATTTCCCGTAACATAGCTCTAAATCATTGAGTCTTTTACTCTCTCCTCTTACTGGACACGAGTATTCTGAATCAAGTGTTGTTTCTCCCACTTAGAATCAAAATAATATGGTCTTTTCCCAATTTACTGGCAAAGGAACTAATAGAATTTTCTCAATTTTAAGAGTTTATCTCAAATAAGTTATTACATTTTTGATGCCTGCTCATTGCTACTAAGCAATGGTAAGCAACTGATCTTCAATACAACTACATTAATGTGTGGCAAATGAATATTATAGGGCACTCAGTCAGCTATCAGTCATGATTACCTTGACAGTTTTTATGGATCTGTGTGCTTGTGATTATGATTTTATGTTGCTATATTGTAATGTAGTCATCTTCTCCTAGTAAAAGTTCTCCTAGTTGTATGCAGAATCAAACAAATTGTTGATGTTCCAGCCTCTTCCTGTCTCATCCAGCCTCATCTTTTGCATTCTCCATGGGTTGTTTCACAAGACCAGATCTTGCAGTTCCTTTAACTTGTGCTCTTTTACGTTTATGCTTTTGCATGAGTTCTACCTAGAAATCCCTTACTTTCCTTCTTCACCTGTGTAATTTATTGTCCTTTAAGCCTCAGATCAAGTGTCAGCTCTTTGTGGAAGTCATTTATAAGCCACTAGCCACCTCAGCTGAGCTATTCCATTACTGTGTTTCTTTATCACTTTAGTGATAACTTCAGTCACACTCTGTGGTCCTTACTTTTGTCTATCTCTTTCCCTAGTCTTTAAGATCCTCAATAGTAGAGACCATGTTTTTACTAACTTTATTAAGGCATTTAGTAAATATTTTAATAAATGGTGTTCTTCAAAGAACACTGTGTCTTCTAGATATGCTATCATCTGAGTTACTTTAAGAACCACTGCTCTAGGTGGAACACATTCTGTGTTCTCCACACTTCGTTAGATATCGTCTACTTTTGGGAGACCTGATGTGCACACATACATACGTTATAGCCTACACAACTTCCATGTGATATAAAATGTTCTAGCTCATATTGCCTATGGACAGTATAGAAGAAGCTTCCAAGATGTTTTAAACATAAATTTCAGTACATTTAGGTTGACTAGGTTTTCGCCTGCTCATGTTTTCACACACAGTGCTCTACAGTATTTTTTTCTTTGATAGCTAAAGAACATCATTGATTCAATCATTCATTCATGCAACAAATATTTTATTGAGTGCCTGCTATATGCCAGGTGCTGTTCTAGGCTCTGGAGAAAACAGTAGTGACCAAAACATACCAAAATCCTTGCCCTCAGGGATCTTATGGTTTAGTAGGGATAGATGATAAAAAAACAAATTATATAGTATGTTGGATAATAAACCTGATAGACAAAAATAAAGCAGGGAAGGGAAATAGAGAATGATGGGCTCAATGAGGAGAGCTGCAATATTAAAAAGTCTAGCCAGGGAAGGCTTTACTAAGAAAGTAACATTTGTGCAAAGAGCTAAAGATGATGAGGTAGTGAGCCATGTGGATATTTGGGGTAGTAGTGACACAGGCATAGCTCAGAGCCAGTATAGAGATCCCCAAACAGAAACCTGGAGTATTCAAGAAACAAGAGAAAGCTCTTGTGGGTAGGGAAAAAAAAATGAGTAAGGGGATAGTCATAGAAACTGAGGTCAAAAAGGATCACAGAGGAGCTAGATATTATAGGGCTTTGTGGGCCGTTGTAAGACTTTTCCTCTGAGTAAGATGGAAAGGCATTGGAGAGTCTTAAGCAGAAGAATGACATTGTTTGACTTATGTTTTAATAGGATCAATTGCTCATACCATGTGGAGAAGAATGGAGGGGCAAGGAGACCAGTTTTAAGAGGCTATTGCAGTAATCCAGGGGAGAGAAGATAATAGCTTGGACCAGTTGGTAGCAGTGCAGGTGGTAAAAAGGGATCACATTCTGGATCTATTTTAAAGATAGTACTCACAGGATTTGCTAGAGGATCAGATATCAAGAGTGAGAGAAAGAGGCAAGTCAAGGATAAGTCCAAGGATTTGGGTTTATGCAACTAGACTGATGAAATTTCCTTTTAAAAAGTAGACATGTGAGGTCTAGTAATAGTAAAGAAGCTTGTATTAGACTAACTCTTTCATAGATAACACAAGTAAACTTTAGGCAGAATATATAAAACAATTCTCTGAAGAATTTGACCCTCAAAAGATGGGAACCATGCTGGGTGAGATTTATGTTTATATGACTTCTCCCCCTGGAAGCGCTCCCAGCCTATGCAGTATGAGGTGGCTAGAATTCAAGCATAAAAATGCAGTTTTAGTATCTATCCTAAGAACCTGAAATCAGCAATTCCAAAAGTTCCATGCACCCCTACGTTCATCGCAGCATTATTCACAATAGCCAAGTCATGGAACCAACCTAAGTGCCCAGCAACTGATGACTGGATAAAGAAGATGTGGTATATATATACAATGGAATACTACTCAGCCATAAAAAAGGACAAAGTCGTCCCATTCACAACAACATGGATAGACCTTGAGGGTATTATGTTGAGTGAAATAAGCCAGACAGAGAAAGACGAACTCTGTATGACTCCACTCATAGGTGGTAGTTAACATATGGACAAAGAGAACTGATCGGTGGTTACCAGGGGAAAGGGGGATGGGGGAGGGCACTAGGGGTGAAGTGGTGTACCTACAACAAGACTAATAATGATGTACAACTGTAATTTCACAAGGATGTTAACTTTCATAACCTTAATAAAAAAAAACTGCAGTTTTATTGGCTTGAGATGTCAAAGGACAGAGTTAAAGGCTGCCAGAGAAGCTGGAAATTAGGAGATAAAAAGGAGGAGCCCTCCAGTCTGCATATGAACTCCTGTGAAATCCTTAGCTGACTCTTGAACTGCTCATGCAAAGGGGAACTTCAAAGAGACTAGTGAAAAGCAGTAACTGGAAAGATTTAAAAAGATGAGCAGAGATTTCAACCTTTTTCCTCCTTAGGAGAGACAGAGTTTGAAATTTTAGAAGGGCTCAGTAAACACCTGGGATTTTCATTGAAATCTCAAAAGGTGATTTGAGATGGCTCAGGATTAAAGACTATGTCCTAGGATTAAGAATAAACAAAATGTAGTATAAATAAAGTATACAACCAAGCCTCAGGGTGATCAACTAGTGATGTAACTGTTCAAGGGAAGTAACTGAATCCACATCTACAATGTATCATTTGTAATGTCCATTATACACTGAAACATTAACAAGTTTGAGAAGAAACAGGAAAATATGATACATAGTCAACAGAAAAAGCTATCAATAGAAGTAGATCCCTATATGATTTACATGTTGGAATTAGCAGATAGGAACTTTAAAGCTGTTATAAATATTTCAAGAATTTAATGGAAAAGATAGTCATAATGAGTAAAGAGATGGGAAATTTCAGCAAAAGAAAAAATAGAAACTATAAAAATAAATCAAATGGAAATCTAGAATTGAAAGGTACATTATCTAAAAATGAAAAATTTATTGGATGGGCTTAACAACAGATTGGAGATGTCAGAAGAAAGATTGAGTGAACTTGAAGACAGAACAATAGAAAATATCCATTCTAGGAACACAGAGAAAAAAGATTTTATAAAAAAGAATAGAACTTCATTGACTCATGGAACCATATCAGGCAGTCTAATATATACATGGTTGGTGTCCCAGGAGAGTAGAGAAAGAGTGGAGCAGAAAAAATATTTAAAGAAATAGTGGCTTAAAATTTCCCAAATTTGGTGAAAAACATCATCTTACAGATCTAAGAAGCTCAGTGAACACTAAGCATGATAAATACAGAGAAAATCACACTTAGACATATAATAATCAAACCAGAGACAAAGAGAAAAGTCTTAAAAGCAGAGGAACCAAAGACAAATTGCATACAGGAGAACAGCAGTGCAATTCACAGCTAACTTTTCAGGCAAGAAGCAACCGAAGCCCAAAGACAATGGAATGACATCTTTAAAGTGGTGAAAGAAAAAGGTTCTCGACCTAGAATTCTAGTGAAAATTTCCTTCAGAAATGAAAATATCCTTTAGATAACATGAAAGCTTGGAGACTCCATTGCAAGCAGCCTTGCCCTATAGGAAATGCTAAAGGGAATTCTTCAGGCTGAAGAAGTGGAACAACACCAGATGGAAACTTAGATCTACAGGAAGAAATGAAGAGCCCTGGAAGTGACACACATGCACGTAAATGTGTAAGAATGTCTTTTCTCTTTTCTCAATTTCTTTAAAGAGTAATTGTTTAATGCAAAATTTGTAACATTGAATTGTAGAGTTTATAACAAATCTAGATGTAAAATATATGACAATAGTAGCACAAGGGAAGAGAATGGAGTAAATTATTGCAAGGATCTTATATGAAGTGACAAATAATTTTCAGTAGATTGTAATGAGTTGAGTGTATATTATAATCTCTAGAACAAAACTTTTTTACAAAAAGTATAACCTATCCCCTCTCCTCCTGCCCAATAAATAAATAAATATAGCAGAAGAGGAAGAACAAAGGAGCAAAAATTAGATGGGACAAATAGAAAACAAATAGCAAAATGATAGCTTAAACCTAGCCATGTCAATAATTACAGTAAATGTAACATCATATCTATGATCAGGAACAAAGCAAGGATTATCCACTTTCATCAGTTCTAGTTAACATTATACTAGAGATTGTAGCCAATGCAATAAGACCAAAAAAAGAAAGAAAAGAAAAAGCATACATAGTTACATAGAAACTCCTAAGGAATCTTCGAAACAACTGCTTGAACTAAGAAGTGAATCTAGGAAGGCCTTTGGGATACGTAATTCATATATACAAATCAACTGTACTTCTATAAACTAGCAGCAAACTGTTAGAAAATGAAATTTTTAAAAATCCCGTTTACACTAGCAGCTCCCTTCAAAAAACATAAAATACTTAGGAATGAATTTAACAAAAGAAGTACAAGACTTCTGTGCTGAAAACTACAAAGTATTGCAGAGATAAAGCAAAGAAGACCCAAATAAAGGAGGCATACATCAGGTTTTTGTGGATTTGAAGATTCAGTATTTTTTAAGAAGTCACTTCTCAGATTCATCTTGATTTTAACACAGTCCTACTCCAATTCCCAACAAGCTTTTTTGTAAAAGTTGACAAGTTGATTGTAAAATTTGTATGGATGGAAAAACAAAAGACTTAACATAGCCAAAGCAATGTTGAAAAAGAACAAAGTTGGAGGACTGATTTTAAGACTTAACAGTATTCAAGACTGTACTTTTGGCATAAGAGCTAGAGATATCAATGAACAGACAAGAATCCAGAAAGACACACGTATTCATGGTCAGTTCAGTTCTGACAAAGATGTCAAGACAATTCAATAGCAAAAGAAAAGGCTTTTCAACAAATGGTGCTGGAACAACTGGATAAACATGGAGGGAAAATGAACCTCACTCCACCTCACACTACACACAAATTTTAATTGAAGATGAGAAAATCATAGGCCTCAGTGAAAACATAGGAGAACACCTTTGCAACCATGGAGTATGCAAGGATTTCTTCGAGAGTACATTAAAAGCACTAAGCAGTTTTTAAAAAAGATAAATTGAACTTCATTAAGATAAAAATTTTCCTATATTTTTCCCTTTCTTCATAATATCACCCCGTTTTCTCTTTTCTTTTTTGTTGTTATAGTGGATGTAAAATGTATTACTTGGCACTTAAAATTTTTCAAGGTTGTTGCAGTTATATTGAGTTTCTTTAAAGCATAAGCAAGTGTTTTTCACCAAATCTGGGAAGTTTTTTTACTTATTTCTTCAAATATTTTTTCTGTCTCTTTTCTTTCCTTCTAGGACTCCAATTATACTTATGTTGGCATGCTTGATATTATCTCACAGATCTCTCTGGGACTCAGTTTGTTTTTCTTAATTCTTTTTTTTTCTAACCCTCCCCCCCAGCTCTCTGTGTCCCTTGACTCTGGCCTGAAGCACTCTTCTAACCACTCCTACTCTACCTAATATTTATGTCTTTTGTCAGTCTTCCCAGACCTAAATGCAGACTTCTTTAGGGGCCTCGTATGTTCTGTTTACTACTGTATCCCAAGTTGTTAAAACAGTATCTAGTATATTGTAGACATTCAATGTATGATAGTTGAATTAAGTGACTGTCCTTTAAAAGAAAAAATTGTATATCACATCTGCTTGAATTACACAAATTTTTTATTTTACCCCAGGAACCAAGCTTAGCAAATATTCTGTGTTGACCTCTCTATTCAAGTCAGAAAACCTTTATTAACCAAATAATTGTTTTGGCCAAAAAAGCTATACATTAATCCATGGACTGATATAAAATGTAAACCTCCAGCACTTCAATCTACATGTCATTAAAGCAAAGCAAAGTTTGGGGGCAAAAAATGCAGAGCTTTGATTTCCAGGAACATTACCAAACGACCAGAAAAAGTCATAATTATATTTGCTTATAGTTTCTATGACTATCTGAGATATAGTCTATTCTCAGGTAAATCATATGTTGAATTGCCCCATGTCCTCATGCGATATTATTGTGGAGCTCCGTTAGCAAACTCAAATTTCCAAATTCTTAAATTAAGGATTCACTCTACCAAATAAAGTTTTTACTTTTGCTCCCTGTATCCTTAGAGTAAATTTGGTAGCTCTAGTCAGCTGACCAGCCTGTATGTGATAGTAATGAACAATTTTTCAATTTAAAATCATTGTTTTGAGAATTAATCTCTTAATTAAATATTATATTGGCAAAACAGAAAAATCCACTTAGGTACAGTCAGATTCACTGCTCGTGTAATAACTAGGTGAAAGAAAATTCCATGTCTCAGCAAGTTTTGAATAGCCCTCTATTGCTAAATATATTATTTTTTTCAGTCCCCTTATAATTAATGTTGCAAAATGTTATAATGTTTTCTACATAGAGTTCAAATTTATTCCTATATTTTTCCTTGAAAATGTTTTAATTTTATGTTGAAAAAAGTAAAGAGGAAGTCATTTTAGAGAAAGCAATCAAAATTCATCTGTTCTATAAAGCAAAGAATATTTATTATGTACCATTTGGAAATCTATTTGTTACTTATACTTCTCGCATCAAGAGGATGAGCTTAAACCTTGCAGAATTAACCTCTCACTTTTGTAATTCTGATGGAAATTATTTTAATTTTGTTCTACTACTTTTATTATTTAGGCAAAGATGCAATTTATACAATTCCAGTGAAAAACATTCTTGCTGTGGAAAAACTGGAAGAGAGCTCTTTCAACAAGAAAAATGTAAGTTATATAAATAATTATTTAAAGCTTTTTAAACGTATATATTACTTAGTTGAAATTTTTCAAGAGGTTTTGTTTTTAGCATTTGCCATTGATCATTGATACTTTATAATTGCTGGCTAGAACTCTGTTTTAAAATTGTCCATTATTATTGATGGCTATATAGTCTGCCTAACCTATTAACTTAAAGGTACTTTTCTTAATACTTCCTGTTATCAGACTTCTCAATTTGACATTCAAATCTTTAATAGTATAGTCGCAACCAATCTGTCAACCTTGTTTTCTGCTACCACTTAGTACATACCATACACTCAGACCAACCAAGACAGTTTCCTTGTTTCTCTGTAGTTCCCCACTGCTTTGCCTTTACTCATACTTTGTCCTCCATCTGAAATTCCCTCCCTTTATTCCTATTTGTGTGATAGTCCATCCCTTTCGACATGTGTAGCTCCTAAAAATTCTGTTCTATTGTACTGCTTAATACTGTGCGACTCAGATTATCCTGGGGACTAACTTGCTTGAAAAGTAACAATTCATAAAACACTTGAGCGGCAGTTATCTAGCCAAGCAAATTGTATTTCTGTGATATACCTTTTCCTGTTTGGTACTATGTGTTGGTTTTTAGACTCTGTCACTAACTTTTTATCCTAATTGCCTATGAAGATGTTCCAAGTAATACATACGGAGAAACCACTCTACGTCCAGGCAAATAATTGTGTAGAAGCTAATGAATGGATAGATGTGCTCTGCAGGGTGAGCCGATGCAATCAGAACAGGCTCAGTTCTTATCATCCCTCTGCGTATCTAAACGGAAGCTGGCTCTGCTGTCAGGAGACCAGTGAAAATGCTCACGGCTGCAAGCCATGTACTGCGTAAGTTTCCTTCTGATTAAAAAGCAGTGTTTGAATGTGATGTATCCTTACGGTGGAATAGTATTCAGCCATAACATGGGAGGAAGTCCTGATACATGCTACAACACGAATGAACCTTGAAAACATGCTAAGTGGATGAAGCCAGACACAAAGGCCATATACTATGTGATAACATTTATATGAAGTGTCAGAATAGGTAGATTCATGGAGACACAAAGAGATTAATGCTTGTAAGGGGCTGGAGGGAGGAAGGAATGGGGAGTGCTAATGGATACAGGGTTTCTTTTAAGGGTGATGAAAATGTTCTCAACTAAATAGTGGTTGGCACAAGTCAAAAAATGGGCAATGTTTAAATAGATGCACAAGCCTGAGCAAGAGAAGGGTTTAGCATTCTTTTTCTAATTGTATGGAACAGCCATGATAGCCCTGTAGACTTCAGAAGTAATGTATTGCTTTTGTGACGGGGTAAGGGTTATGAAAATGATTTCATTTTAAAAGTGCCCTCCTTTTGATTAGAATCATATGATGACTAAATCTCTTTTGGACCCATTTTATTTAATTATCAAATGAGACTAGATTTCTGAGGTTCCTTTTGCAAAATTCTGTGGTTCTTTTTTTTAGTCTCAAACCATCGAAAGTCTTTGACATGTTAACGAAGTGAAATTTTTCCAATGTCTTTAATTTCATTTTTACCATAGAGGTGTCCCTGCAGACATCCAAATAGATATCGATGAAGACAGAGAAACAGAAAGAATTTATTCCCTTTTTACTCTCAGTTTACCTAAGCTACAGAAAATGGAAGGTAAATACAACTAAAATAAATATTTTTATATAACCATGATCCTTCATTACCAGTTCCTGAAGTATTGCTTTAGCATTATCTTTAAGTTGAAAATACTCGTAGATTTACCAAAATGTTACTTCTATGAAAGTTGACAGACACCCAAAGGGGGCTTTTTCATAGATATTCATGAAGTAAAAATACTATTTTTGCATAAGTGTGATGATCATAATTAATAAAATGAATGTATTTTGGTTATCTATGCATTGCTAGGGGAAATCTCCCCAACTTGAGACTCTTGAAAAGTTCTTATTTATGCTACAAATTACATTTATGGAATTTAGTTGTCTGATCAGAGATTTTACTGCTCCTTGTAGAGGCTTGTGGAACTATAGCAGTCTATCAAGGACCACAGAAAGAGCCTGATGATTATTCTAACTTTGTAATCGAGGATTCTGTAACAACCTTTAAGACAATTCAGCAAGTAAAAAGCATCATAGAGAAGCTAGATGAACCTCATGAAAAGTATAGGAAGAAAAGATCAAGTAGTGCAAAATATGGGAGCAAGTAAGTATTTTTAAGATCCTTTAAACACAGTTTCAGATTGCGTCTACTACTCTGTACTCACACCTGAATGCAGGCCTCCTGCCACACCTTCCTCTTTCAAGACCCAGCTCAGAGCCTTTCTCTTGTGCGAGAGTTTCCCTGGCCATCACGCAGTGATCTTTCTTTTCAGTTCTGGTATCATTTCATTATGTTGGTGCTGTAGTTTATCACCACTTGTAATGTTATATTCTAATATAATTCATGAAATTGAATACTTAGTAGCTTTCTGCTTTTGTTTTGTTCTTACTGATCGTCTTCCTTCTTATTATCTCCCACGGGGACTTATACTTAGTAAGAAAAAAAATCAGCTATGAAAGTGCTAAAAGTGTTTTATAGTTGATTCTTTGGATCCATCTCAGATGTAGATGGATACCACGGTGGGTCCATCAGCAACAACAGCAACAGCTATCATGTATTAGGAGTTTATTGTACCACTGAGCACTGTACTTAACTTTACATCTTATCACTTAGATTGTTTTAAGCAACAAGTAACAAAAAATCCCAATTGAAGTGGCTTAACCACTAAGAAATTTCTTAGTCTTACCCATTAAGTCCTAACTTCTACAGTTGGTTAGTTCAGCATCTCAACGTTGTCATCAAGGACCATCCAACCGCTCAGCCATCTTCAACAAGATGATTGCTGTGTTCCTCAGGCTTGTCCCCTCCTGGTCACAGATGGGCCACAATAGCTCAGAGCCTCATGTTTCTATCTCACAGTGTCCAGAGGCAGAAAGAGCTGTTTCTTTCACACTAAGAAAAGAACCTTATCTAAAGTTACTCCGAGCTTCCCCTGGAACATGGGGCTGCCCAGGAGTAGCAGTAGAATCAGGGTCCAGTTTGCATAGAAGTAAATAGAGAGGATGGTTCTTAGACCAGCAAGTAAGTGTTTGCTACAGTCTTGTTGATCCTCACGTCAGCCCAGCATGGCTATATTCCCATTTTACAGCTAGTGAAACTGAGGCTCAGGAAAGTTAAGTGCTTTGCCCAACATTACACAGCTGATTAGTGAGGGGGCTTTGAATCCCGGCCCCACCATTGTAAGTATTCTTTTAAAATTATGTGGATTAATAATTATATTTGTGATTTGTGAACAATAAAAATCAGTTTGACAGGTATAAATGTTTATGTTCTCTCTGGATGGAAGGCTCAGTACATGAGAAAGGTCATTGTCAGCATCCTGTTCCTGTCTTTTCTACCTTAGTATCATTGGTTCTCTTCCAACAGTGATAATGCAGTTTTTTCGGAGCCCCGGGAAGTTTCCATGAGATCTTAGTCAATACTTGACCATCCTTCTTAAATAGTACCCCCGTCCCCCACACCCACACACTCTACCCCTTCCCAGCTTTATTTTTGTCTATTAAAGAATGCCAGTCTTTCTCGTACTAAATGTTTCACTTGTCCATTTTGTTTACCCTGTACCAGTATGTAGCCTCCATAGGGCAGAGTTTTGTCTGTTTTGTTCACTACTATATTCAGAGCTTCTAAAACAGTGTCTGACATTTAATAGGTGGTCATTAAATACTTGTTGAATTGATGAAATAAGACTCATGAGAGATTATCCAGGGAAAATTATAAATACTTAATGATACTATGTGGTATTTGTCACGTGTTAAAATTTTATGTTTTTAACTTTTGAAAAATGATTTTCTTTTATTATTTTCTAGGGAAAATCCAATTGTTGGGAAAACATCTTAGAGTTTGGCCAATTGATTCAGAAGAACTGGAAAATATTATTTTTGTTGGAGTTTTTCAATTCATCATATATTTTGTTCATAGTATTTAAGAATGAACATTGGCTTCAATGTCATCTGTATTCACATTGTATTTAATATTTAATAATTGAAATTAACTCTTTGGGAATCCTGGTATTGATGTATTACTAGAGAATTTGAAACCCAAGATTCCCTTCATATCTTATGTGTTAAAAGCCATGTTTCTGCCACTTCTTTTTAATAGAAAGAATCTTCCTAAAGAAGCTTTGTAACAAAAGGAGAACTCCTCCATAGCAAGAAACCATCTCTTCTTGTAACACTGCGTGTTCTGTGGACTTCTCACTACCATTAGTGCCTGCTCTATACTGCCAATATTGTGTTTTACTAGAGAATCCCAACCCATGACAATCCAGAGTTTCCATTTCGTTCTTCCAGACCTTCCCTCTTTAAAAAAGAAAAAAGGGATTTTCCCCTAGTCCATTAGTCATTGCAGATTATGTTAGGGACAGTGACAGAAACTTTGGAAAACTGCCAGAGCATCCTTGGAAGTTAGTAGATCATTTTGCCTATTTAAAGATGTAAACAGAACTCAGACAGGAGGAATCAGGGAACGTGTACTATTTTGTGCAGCTTGTTTACATTTGGGAGAGTGATGGCAGATGAAATAAAATGAGACCACTAAATTTTTTTCATTGTTTTAAATATCAGGTACTCATTTTCTTGATTTGAGAGTTCAGGTTAACATGATTCTAAGAACATCTCTTCTGAAAAGGAAGAGAGTATAGAGTGAAAGAAGGTGGTGGGAAAATCACTTGACTTCACCATTACTCCACATTGTTCTAAGGGTCACCATCAGGATGCCCTCCTCCTGTGGGAGGTTGAGAACTAACTCAGAACAGTCACTCGGCGCACTTTAACCCTCTGGGCTGCCCAGAGTCTACTTCAGATACCCCGTGGTGTCTAATCTTATGATCAGTTGAATGATCAGTGTTTAAGTCTAGAAATAGTACTTTCCTGAAAATGTTTATATCTCGTTGCTGTTTCCTTATGGCCTCCCAGCCAAATGGAATTTGGGCAGGCAACTGTTGGAATCTTATTTTTCCCTAATAATTTACTTTTATCCTAAAAACCATAACTGTAAATAAGCAGTCGAAGCAAGTTGCCACCTTGATGTTAAGAGGGATATACTTTGCTTCATCAGTATTAAAACCGTGGTACTCTTATTTTGTCTTTTTAAATTCAGAACATTTTCTAGATGTGGTACTTTGAACCTTGGAGTATTTACACGTGTTTCTGTTTAAAACTGTGACTTATTAATGTAAGTCTAGCTAGCCATGCTATTTTTGTTTCCCTGAGCATAAGCTATATTTCAAGACACAGTTTGCCACTTATGTTATTGGTGAGTAATTGTTTTTAAATTATATTTTACTAGGTAATTATTTTTAAAGACCATTGACACACAATCAGAATTTTTCCATAAATGATTATAACTGAGCAATGTATTTCTCTAAATGACTTGTAGAAATCAGTTGGTTTTATTTAAGAATCAGTGCTCGTCTGCATTATGGTAGGTTATTCCTGGACCATTTTGAAGACAAGTTTGAAAGAGTCCTTTAAATTTTATGAATTTTAGATTCCATAAACTACACTGATTTATAAATGTGAAAGAATTTAACCATTTAATAAATTTCTCATTGTTGAATTTGATTCAGATTAAAGTTCCTCTTAAGAGTCTCTGAAGTGTCTATCTGAAAAGGACATGTGAGCATTGCCAGGTACCACTCATTACTCTTTAGTGGCTTTTTTAATCCTCTGCTGTTTTTTCAAGGCAGAAGAAATATTCCTCTAATATTTCTAATATCAAATCCCCAATTATGATTGTTTTTAAAGATCACGAAATTTTTATCAGAGGGACCAAGGCTGTGTGAACACATAACTCTGAGTTTAAAGGGAAGAGTTCAGTCATCTCGTTATTTTCTTCACATGACATTCTTAAACAGCCAGTTTGACTGGAATTAACCAGCTTGACATAGCTTAAAAAGAATTAATGTGAAATTAATTTTCTTGGAAAGTCTTCTCAAATAAGAGACCATGTCAGTAGGACCCTAAGATAACCAGGGTACTTGCTTCCAAGGGCCTCGTTCCTCTGCTGATAGTATGAGTACTTTGATTTTTACCAACTGGTCTGCTCTCTCTGCCTTTTCCACACTTGAAAAAATATATGGCAGCTCACTTCACCCTAAAAACTCGAAAACCCCAAGAAGAAAAGAAAGGATGATATGGAGAAACTCTTGCCATAAATGCCAGTTCTGGTTCTTAGTTTAACTATTTCCATCAGTTGAAATTGTGGTGATCTGTCACTTGTTTTCTTGTTGTTATTGTTTGTTTTGTTTTTTTGTTTAGCAAAGTTTTTTACTCCCAGGAATATAATTTATCAAATTGAATGATTTTATTTGCCAAAGAAATATGTTTATAATATCACGGGTAATGGTTAAGTGTCAAAACTAGGCTTTCCTCATTATACAAAAAAAAGTGACGAATTATGTAGCTTTTGTTTCTGTTTCTGAAGCCTAATTTCATTCATTTATCAGAAAGGCTCATTCATGCCACGTTTTAGCAAACCAATTTTTTTTTTTAAGTAAAAGCACCTTTAATTTGTTCTAACGGTACATCCTGTAAAGACAGAATGCTATCAAGCCTTTTAGGTGTCCTTACGGTGTGTGGAAAATACGGGACTCATTCTAGAGTTAAATTACCAGTCTTGATCAATTATCTGCTTCCATTTTTTTAACTTGGAAATTAATATGTTGTTAGTAAATATTGGTTTTTACAGTGTCCAGTTTGAAAATGTAAGTTATCAGAATTTAATGTAGTGAATTTGTGTAACCATGTTGTATTGTTGGGAATGTATTTTTATTTAAATTTTATTTTCTTATCAAGAGTATTATAAAAATTAAAAACTTTTGTAACTGTCGCTTGGAAATAACTCAAATAAATTACAAGAAGCCTGTCTGTTTTTTGTGAGACTTTACTTTCTTACCGATTTAAGAATTCTTTCTGTTTAAAATGATTGTACCTTGCCTACTAGTAAGGGAATGGCGGAAGTGAGAAGTCCTCGATACAGAGGAGCGAAGCAATCTGGAAGGGACTCAGTGTTCTTTTCTTACGTCTAACCAGGCTGATTTTTGATGGACTGTGGTCGTCATTCATTTATTCATTCAGCAGACTTGTTTTGAGGACCTCCAGGGTGCAGGCACCATGCAGGATCCCACCCCTGCCTAGAGCCAGGCACGTCCAGTGTATGGAATATATTCCACTCCTGTCTGGATAAATAGTTTACAGCTGAGTTTTTCAGCCTATGTTCAACTCTTTGAAGAATCCTACGTTCCACTCTTCTCAAAGAAGTCAACATCAGAGCCTCTGGTTACTCAGGTCCTGCATTGACTCCTGCAGGTCAGTCTACCCAGCAGCTTGACTTTCAGTGCGTCCTTCTGGATGTTAGAATTTGACCATGTTGTGTCATTTTGCTGAATTGTCTAGAGAATATAAAGTGACAGCACCAAAGACCAGGTTCGTCAGTAAGTTGTGCCAGAATCCTCCCCTATTAGTGCCTCTTAGCATCCCTAATTAAACCTCCATAAAACTTAGCCCCTGTGATTCCAGAAGAGTTTCAAGTTAAAGAGGAAGGAATAGGCTTCTCAATCTCTAAGGATCTTATTTTTATAAAAACACCAGAATCCTGCTTGTGGGAGCCCGTGTATTAGAATAGAACTTGTCAGAAACATGAAAGACTCAGGGTTCTCCTCTATGATGTAAACAAGCTAGTTCTTTAGAGAGAGCGGGGACCATCCTTTAGTTGGGTTTCCTTTTCCAAATTGCGTGATTCCAAAACAAGAGACACTGAGGCCAAGCAGAGTCCCTTTTTGGGGCCACAAGCATAAGAAACAAGACATGGCTTGGCACTGCTGGGTTCCAGCCGCTGGCATAGGTTTCTCTACTACTCCAAGTCAATGGCCAGTGCTGACCCTTCAGAGAATAACCTATTTTAGGTAGACATGACATACTTCAAATAAATTGACCAGTGTTCAGAGAACTTTGGTCTTGATTCCTCATACACATCCTCACCTGAGGTTTCTTTTTTTGGCTTGTCATTTTGCCATTTGACTTCTTGGTTTGGTGACACCATTTACCACCATATTTTAAGCTGATGCCTATATTTTATATTAACAGCAGAGAAGGTGTAACCTGTTTAATTAAGTTGAAGTCCTATCAAGATTTGTTTAGTTTTCTGCCTACTATTTGAAATCCTCCTCGTACCATCAAAACCTTTGTGCTTTCTTTGTACTGATCTACTTTTTGACTTGGAGTTCAGTCTTAGATACGGGAAGTTTTTGCTCATCAAGGAAGAATTTGTCTGTCTGGTATTAACAGCATTGTTTTCCAAATTTAACGTAGTTCTAAACTCCACTGAGAACTGAGAAGGCCACATTGCTTGCACTGTTAAAGAAGCACCCATCATTTTAGGTAGATTCTCAATGAAGATGAGGTGAACGACCCCAGAGAGGCATGTCAGAATCTCCCTGAGGCGAGGGAATGTTCCAGGGAGGGAAGGTATAGAGTTTGAAAAGACACAGTCGATATTATAACTTTACACTTGAAAATGCAAATAAACACCTATTTTTGTAATTCAAACTACTGGAAAATCTTGACAAAATCTTACTGATACAGATGCGTAGATGAGACCATGGTTCTCACCTGGAGTCCCTTTCCAATATGGAGCCTGAGATATTTGTGTTAATGTGAGGCATTTGTTTTTAAAGTTTGGAAATCACTGGAATCTGAGATAAGGTAAATTCTAAATCCTGACCCCAAGTCTCAGTCCTAAACTCTACGTGAAAACTACGTGTCAGGAGCAAGGATACAGCCAGAGTCACTGCCTCCTTGAAGCTTACTTTCTGGGGAGAGGAACAAGACTAAACAAGTAAAATATGTCAGCTGGTAACAAGTATTACACAGCAAAGTGAAGCAGGAAAAGGAGGTGGAGTACTACGTATGGGCCTACATGAGGGAGGGCTGTGTGGGGATACAACTCAAAATTAGGTGGCAAGGAAGGCCTTACTAGGAAGGAGACATTTGAACAAAGATCTGAAGTTGGTGAGGAAAGGGAGTCATATGGATATGTAGGGGAAGATCCTCCAAGGTAGAAGAGATAAAGTGCATGGCCTGCTCAAAAACAGCAAGGAGATTGGTGTGGCCAGAGTGAGATTCGTGAGGGGGAATAGCAGGAGACGAGTGTGATGGAGAGCTTTGAGCAGTGGAAGTGACGTGATTGACTTAGCTTTTTTGGATTGCTCTGACTGCTCTGTCAAGTCTCCAGGAGGGCCTAGGTAGTAGGTAGTGGAAGCCTGGATAGGCCAGTGTCCTAAACATGTGAGAAAGAGTGGTGGCCAGTTCCCGGGGTGACAGCACAGCAGCTGGTGAGGACTGGTTAGATTCTGGTTATGTTTGAGGGTAGAACCAACAGGATTTATTGACAGACGGAATGTGGGAGAAAGAAGGAGTCCAGGAAGATCCAGTAGCCTAAGCAATGGGGAGAAAGGAGGGGTCGTTTGCTGTGATGGGAACGACTACAGGAGAGAAAGTTGTGTGTAGTTTGTGTCCATATTAATGATTCCTGGAAACCAGGTCCATTTAAATCAGTAAGTACAAGCACATGTTTATCTAGTTTTATACATTTATCATATCTTTCTCACTAGATTGGAAATGATTCCTGGGCTAGGGAGGGACTTTACTGTACCCCTCAGCCCCTTGCCTTTAGATGAGGAAGACAATAAATATTCAATGAATGAATGATATGACAGCTAACGGTGGAGCAGCTAGGGCCTTGGTTGAAAGACATGACTCAGCTAGAAATTACCTTTATGATCTTGGTCAATAACCCCTTTGGGTTTTGGTTTCCCTGCACAGATAAAATTTTAAAGGTTCTCTCTTCAAGAACAAAATATTGGGCTCTTGCTGTTCACTAAGCACTCTGCTAATGCCAGGAACCCTAAGATACTGCTCTCAAGTTACTCATGGTCAAGCTAGAGACTGGACCAGAGTGACCTGAAGATTCTTCTACAAGTTCAGTACCCAGACAACCCCTTGGGGGCCATCCACTCACACCCCTACCCCAACTATTTGTGTAGGTAATTCAGTTCCTTCAGTGGACCCTTCCTGACAGAATGTTCCCAGCTCTCCCCCAAAGCTCCATGACCATGGACCAAGTTATTGACCCTGTTAGACCCTGTAATTTGTATTACCATCCTCCTCCCATCATCCTTTGAGGAATTAATAGAATAGAGTCCTGGTGTTAATGAAATAACTGACTCACTGATGAGACAGCCTGGTGTAGGAAGAGAGCCCAGCACCCATTCTCCCAAGGTGATGGTAAATTAATTAAGCAAGGAGGCCATTAGGCTGAGGTGGTTCTAAAGTCCTGATGGCCTACATAAACAAACCAAAATCTAAGCCTATAAATGCCTCAAGATTATGAAATCAAAACGCTAAGGACAACCAATCACAGTCAACTAGGCTTTAAGCTACAGCCAATCAAACAATTTCCTTTCTTTCTTCATTTACACTTTCTCTATGTAAGACACCCCAAGCTCCTGTCTGCAGACTCTTAGCTGCTTCCAGTTTGGCGTTGCACAATTGCAATTGATTTT